TATTGGATTTTCATAGGAATTGAATCTCCAGTCCATCGTGATAGTCATAAATATGTCCTTTGAAGATATGACCACCTATGTGGCTATGGGGTGGTCCCAAATCTTATGGAAGACAAGTGGATAGAAAGGGTAGGACCCTAGGATTATCCATATAAGCAGGAAGTCAAGGAAAAGTGGGTCCAGCTGTGAGAGAAGTAGGTAGGTAGGTGACCAGAGGAATTGGAGCAGCCCAGTGGCCAGTGACAGAAGGATCGGCAGTGAGGAATCAGGAGTCGCTGAGCCCAGTGAAGTTTTGTTTTCATTTTATTTGTTGAAAGTGATCACAACTGAGAAGACAAACCTGTGCACATAACAAGTTTGGTGTATTTGCAAATATACTCAACCATTGCATGTGTGCAAATATCGTCTTGTTTTGGACGAGACCAGCACACATAAATTGCGTCTTCAATAGTGGCTATATTTCTTTTTGTCATTACTTTGCAAGCAAGACACGTTCACGCTCATTTCAAATTCTGAGATAAGTCATGTCTTTCATCACAGAGAAACGTGAGAGAGTTATGTTTAACAATTTCAACAATAAAATGATGAGACCTATCTGCCAATCTAGTACTGAACTTAAATTCACAAAATCACAATACCAAAGAAGACTCATGAGAATAAATCCATAAAAATATTTATAAAAAATCAAAGCTACATTACAGCAAGTGGGGAAAGTAACTGAAGCCGAGATGACAGGTCAGCACTGATTACATTACAGATTCTTCTTTGAATTTTGTCAGTAATCTCAAGATACATATCAGAAACACCAGATCATATGTAGCAACAATATCCAATGCACGTCAAATGGTAGATTTCTAAAGGTGCAAGATAGATTCTGGCGAGAAAAATTGTCTAGCATGACACCATGAACTAACTTTCCTAGCAGCAGACCTAACAATTGATTCAATATAATCTTTCCACTTCATATCATTGAAAAATGGTCACTTGAGGAGTCACTCTCCTGGAGGTTAGCATCAGCCATATGGAAAGCAAAAAAGGTTCATTAAGGTAATTGAAAGAGTAGTTTTGGAGGCATATAAATTAAGAAGCCATGTCTCATTAAGGACTTGTTTGCAATTATTATAAGCAGTAAGAGGTTTCTGTTGTGACCAAAGCTAGCATGGAAAAAAAAAGCGATTCCTGTGGGTTATAGTGGCTGAGCAGACAGGTGTGAACCAAGAAGATTGTGTTTTCACCAGGTGTAACTGGAGGAATTATTTTACCAAACTGACATCACATATTGACAGATCTTGCAACTACTTTGTTTTCATTGTGAATAAAGTAATCTAATTTTTTTGCCTTAAACAAAATACATTATTTACATTAATTGGACTATTGTCCTCATCTTTGTTGCCATATTTATTGCAATGTTTCGGCCATTGTACACTCCGGCCTTCTTCAGGTAGTTGGAATGTCAAACTGAACCCTTTATTTCGCTCACTGTGGTAGACTGTTCTAGTTCCACGTGCCATATTTAATGGATGTCAGTTATCAGTTATCTCCTGTTAATTTCCCTCTGAAAGTTCTCCACTGCCTTAGCCGGGTATTGAACTCACACTCTTTGGGTCCTGTCAATGGACCTAACCAACACCTTTATCCAGTGCCATGTGTCCTTGAGGAGCGTTCAACAGCTGAAACCTGATAAATATGGCGACAAAATGAGAACAATAGTCTGAATAATGTAAATAGTATACATAATACCTCCTCTCAGAAATATAGACAGATATTAAACAAAATAATTGTCTATATTTTCAGGTGTTAACATTCATACAAAGCATTTCATCTGGTAAACAAATTAAATGGTGATATGTAAGACCACTGATAGAATGAAGAAATTGTTGAGGAGTTGTAAGAATCAACAGCATTTTGATATTGGTTAAGCAGAGTGGGATGTGAGGAAAGATATGAAGAGAAGAAAAAAAAAAAGAAAGAAAGAAAGAAATTACATTAACTTACCTTCTCTTCCACTGATGTCTTATTCTGGAGAAAACGGAAGGAAGAAATTGAGGACCAGGGAATTACAGGGGGTGGGAAAATTTATTATGGAAAGGAAATGTGATGCATTATGGGTAGAGGGGGAGAGGAATTAAAAAAAAAAAAAAAAAAATCAGGCATTACAGTTGTGCAGCAGTCAAAACAAAGAGAGGAAGAGAATGAAAGAAGGGAGGAAATAGAGTGAGAGTGTGTGTGGGTTTTGGTTTGAGAAGGGTAACATGTTCGAACTCACTGCTTTTGCATCAGTAAAAATAGGTATTTTTTCTTCTTTTTGTTGTTCTATTTTCACTTGTTTTTTCATTTTCATTTCAATAAAATCACTTAGCAACTTTTTTTTTTTTTTTTAATCAGAAACACACAGAAAACAAGTTTCAACTGTGATTGTGCTTTTTTTTTTTTTCACTTATATTCCTTATATGGGCAGAAAAAAAAAATCTAACTGAATGCCATTACAAGTTGCAAAATAGTAGAATGAAGCTTTCTGATGCCTTGGAAATAAAGTATTTACCTCATAGACTTTTGATCTAAATTCCCACAAATTTCAAAATGCCAAATAAATAAATATATCAGACGTGTGCTGAATTTTGAAAGTAATTTCATATTTCTGATGACATGGAAATGTTATTAAAACAAATCAAAAAAGATATAAATATGTGAAATAACATTTATTCCCAAGTTTTTGACAAAAATTCTTTTATCTTTAGCTGTTTACAAAATGTCACATGCACCCCCCACCCCACCAACAAAAAAAAAAAAATTCTGGGCCAGTTGAAAATCCTGAGCTGCTTTTTACAAAATAAGCAAATTTTGCTAAATAAAAAGAAAAAGAAAAAAAAAAAAATTCTATTTAATACAAAAAGAGCAGTTTTTGAATCAAAATGTCTGAAAGTCATCTTGATATTTACTAAGCTTAGTCAAAAGCCAAAGAAAGAAAAGTGGCATCGGACAATCTTCTAAATGGGAGGGAGAGTCAGTCTGCTTGTCTACCTTGAAAATCATTTAAAATCTTGCTTTTTTTTTTTTTTTTAAAAAAAAACAAAACAAAAAAACCTGGACTTATACACTGCTGAGACTGATAGGAACACAACCATGAGGCTGGCTCCAGTAAATTTAGTTTTCTTGTCCAATGTTTGGCCACTGATTTATTTAGGAGGACAGAATTGAAGTGCAGATGTAAACAAAATGTGTCCTTATATTATTAAAAAAAAAAAAAATTTTTTTAAATCATTTCTGTTTCATAAAAACAGATTCCATTTATTTCACTGGGGGAAAAAAAAAGAAGTCTTTTAAATAACAAAATTTTTTGGGTAGTGGGGATAAGACCTAATTCTGGAATGTTTACCTACCAATATAAAATCAAAATCAATCTAAAAATTGGTCTTTATTCCAGAAATGTTTATTCTGGCTCCTTTTTTTTTCTTTTTTTTTTTTTTTAAATTTTATTTTGGCTCCTTTAAGGCTGAAAACTACAAACAGAAATATGCAGCTTTACATAAAGTTTTCCTAGGAGTTAAAAAATCTTTTGCCTAAAATGTAAGTTCTTTAAAAATAAAAACTTATCAAATTAGATTTATTATTATTTTTTTTTAAATATGTCAAAAGGGACAAGTTTTCTTTTTTCTTTCTATGCAACCAGATGAAGATTAGTTTAAAATTCATTTTAGAGTAATAAAAATCAGTGAATAGTATTAAGTTGCCATAATTATTTCTAGTTCAGCTTTCTGCAGGTTTGCCTGCATGAGTATTTGGGGAATGGAAAAAAGCAATGCAGGTGTTGTAAGAAACACCAAACAAATGATTGAGAAATTTCTCAGAGTTTTCTTAATGTTTTTATCGAAGGCAAAAACATAAAAATTATTTTTACCTGTTATTTATTTGTTTTGTTTAATAACATTAACTCCAAGTGAAACATCTAATGCCAAAGTTATTATTGCGATTTTATATTTGTCTATTATTTCGTAGTGAAATTAAGGTTTTTTTTTTTAACATTAATCGTGTCAAAAATTGTATTTACTTTTTGTATTTATAAACTGTGTTAAAAGTACAATTTTTTTTTGTTTTTTTCCACATTTTTCTTCACATTTGTATGTTTCTTTTAAGAATTTAAAAATTATCTGGATTGACCTTGCTAAAGAGTTCTTTCAGGTTATTTGTTTGATAATATTTGACCTGTTATTTGTATCAAGAGAGGTGGGGGTGTATGGAGGGGGAGAAGAATCTTATTGCTTTGTTTATTTGGCTTTATAATTCTGGCTCTGTTATTCATTAACCTTCATTAATATTTCTAAATTTTTCAAAGATTTTAAGAAATAGTAAATAAAAGTCTATTAGGAAGAGAAGAGCAAATAAAGAATCCCTCCTTTCTGTTAATTTTACCTTTACTCAGATAGGAATAGTGTATTTTTTGGATGCTGTGCTTAAAGAGAGAGACAGAAAAAGAAATGGGAGGGGAAGTTTTTGTTTTCTTTGGCTCTTCATCCTATCATGAACTGCAGATGTTTCCCTTTTTCTTTCTTTTTTTATCAAAACTTACATTTGATAAAACAGCAAAAATAGTTAGGAAGTTTTTTTGTTTTTTTTAAATTGAGCATTTTAGAATATGGCATCAGATAAAAATATAGTTATTTTGTGCTTGTATATTTTTTTTGTCCTCATATAGAGAAAAAAAAAACCCGAAACTGAGCAGATCCTTTTAAAGAAATCAAAGTGACCAGAAGAGAAGTGGGAATAAAAGCAGCCAAGGATTTTGGCCTTGATTTCAACAAGTCATACCAGGAAGCAGCCTGCCCAGCTGGCTACTACTGGTCAAGAACACATTTGCCCATAGGCTGGTCATGTCATTTTACAATTTTGTTCATTTTCATGTACACACATTCTGGTGCAGAAAATGGGGTCAAAATGGAGGGGGGGAAAAAAGATGAGAGAAGGGGAAAAAAAAGCAAGGATGGAGAGGGAGCTGAATATGTTCAACGCTCATCTATAAGAGGTGTGGCATCACCAGCACCCTCAGTAGAGTTGGGCATCGATCGGACTGCCGGACTACTGCTGCTACTGTGACGAGGAGTTCCTGGTTTAGGGGTGGATGCTCCACTCTGTTTCCTCTTTGCCCACATTTCAGCTGCTTTGGCCCAATCTGTATTGCTTGTTGTAGGGCGGGGCTGTGTTCTCTGTGGAGTGCGACTGGGAGTGGCACCAGGCCAAATAGTAGACCTGGGTGTTGGCTGATAAGAAGGTGTGGCTAATGAATGTGCAGGTGTTGCTTGCAGCGTCTGGCCTGGGTAGGAAGGTGTTAACATTGGAGTCATCAGTGGTGTGGCCATTGGCTGAAAAAGAAAACCCAAAATGTTTTCAAATAAATAAAAGTAACAATGCTCTGTTGGGGTAACACAGCAAAAATAGCACATTGGAGCACAGTTTTTATTGTTAACACAATACAGCAAAAAAAAAAAAAAAAAAAAGATGCAATTTTGTGAATAAAGCTATTTCCAGCCCATTTGTGTAAATGATTTCTAAGTTATTTTAAAATTTATTAAGCAGAAAACGTCAAGAAAAATCTGTGTTTAGTATGAAACAGACTGTCACCACTGGGTGTTAGCTTCAATATCCACTAAGATCATCTTAAGGAGTAAATTACAATGACAAACTCAGTTACAATGTTTGCTTTTGTAATTTACCCCTAAGGATGATCTTGGAAGAGATCAAAAGTATTTGGGTATGGTGCCTTCCTTGATGAATTTCATCTTAACATCAAGAAACTAATTAGAGAACTGGAAAGGGTCAGTATGAAAAGAAATAGACAATGTGTCTATATTATTCAATGAAACATATTTGAGTGAAGATATATTACAAAACACACACACACATATATATATATATATATATATATATATATATATATATATATATATAAAAAATGAAAGAACAGTAAGATAAGAATCCGGTGTTCTTATTGATATTTTTATTTTTCCAAAACAGTGCTCAATGTAAATTTGCAGAGCATAAATATTATAAATTAACTGATTTAAAAATATGGTTCCTTCGCTACACAAGAATTACCATGTTTAAATAATCGAAGCTAAAAATTTTAAATTCAATCATATAATTAAATTAAAAGCATTAGTTCTATTTCATCTTGAAAAGAATTTTGGAATAACTTATTTTTAAATTTACTTAGTTTTAAAAGCACATACATTCATAATTTTTTGTTTCCAAAGATAGAGAGAAATCCAATCATTCATTTAGACAGGGGTGGTAGCGTGTTCATTTTTATTAACTATTATTGTATCAATTAGGAGTTACTATATATATATATAATTTTTTTTTCTTAATCATCACCCCTCAAAAAAAAAAAAAAAAAAAAAAACCCTCTATTAAGGTGAAAGAACAATAAAAAAAACAAGAATTAAAAAGACAGATGATAAAAATTGACATTGCATTTAAATTTTTGAAGATCATATTTTTATAAATAAAATGTATAGAAACTTGACATGGAGTAAAGGCTGCTGAAGGTTTCATTTAAGCAAGTTAACAGGAGGAAAAAAAGAAAAGTTATATAATTATTTTGCCTCAAACATTTTTATACATGGACAAGTGAGAAACTACAAAGTTGGCCTTAATAACGTAGGCTAGAAATTTGTGATGGCTTATAATTATCAATAATGAAATCAGAGAAAACATAAGATGACGTGTGCTGCAAATATACTGTTATATTTTTTGCCAATTGTTCAGAGAATCTTGTCCTTGTCTGATAACAAGGGTAAGGAATGCCTTGTAAATTTTAATCACGGCTGTTTAAAACCCTTGTTTTTGTCATATAGGAAAATCCAACATGGTGCGTAAATGAAATATTCGGCAAAAAATTCTCATTGGTCAGTAACATTTTAAACAACTCATAGAATGTCAAGTTCTTAAAGAAAACCTATGCCAAAGTGTTTTCCTGAATCCTTGATGACTTGGCTGTCCGAAAATGATAATATCAAGATGAAATAATGGAAACTGACCGTGAAAAATACAATTACAGGTTTTCGATCAATTAGTAAACTTCTGGACCTTTTAGGGCGACTTTATAGGATCCAGACAGCTATTGTTTGCACATGGAATTATTCACTGGTAATTAATCTTTGATTTGGCTGTGGAAAATGTCACTCGGCGGTTAGCATTAAGAAATTATGCCCAATTTTCTGTGAAAAATCCCCTTTTTTTAATGAAAAAATATTTATTTTCGCTTCAAAATAACATCCTTCAAAATTCATTCCTTTCTCATTCATTTGGCATGAACCTCATTGAATAAAAAGAACGGCTAAATGGGCGGCGATGGGAAATCTGAAAGATATGTGGCGAAAAAAAAAAAACAATGTCATCTGCTAAGTGTTGTTGTCATCACCGGTCACGGGTGTTAAAAAAAACAAAACTCATCAAGCCATTGTTCAAACATAGGTTATAACAAGCCCTAGTCATTGTGAACCCTTTTTTTTTTCACTCTTTGCTTTTATCTGGGAGTGGTGGGCTTTATTACAACTTGTTTTAAGATTTGCCGTTTACTGCTGGTTGGCTGGCTGGCTGGCTGGCTGGCTGACCGACCTTTGACCTAGATGTCAAAGTCAATCAGGTTTAATTTTCCTTATCGCTATTTTTTGGAAAAAAAAAAAAAAAAGTTTGGTTTCTGGTGGTTAGGAATTGCAGATAAATCTCTTGCCTTTTACTAAAGATTTCCGTGGCTGGGTGTCAATTTTTTTTTTAACTCTTGGCAGCCATATAATTGAAAATTAACAATGGATTTTGTCGCATTTTGTTCACCTAGGAATGTTGATTTCCTTCAAAACTCTCAATTTTATGCCTAAAATAGTTTGATTATGATTTAGGCTTTCTGATTTTCAAAAAATAGGTTAATTTCCTATTAATGGGGGAAATATTTGTTTAGAACAAGAAAAAAATGCAAAATTTTCACTATTTTTTCACATTTTACCCACTAAAAAAATTTTTGAGTCATTTACACCAGCTAATTTTACTTTTAAATGAAAGAATATATCCTTTGCTTTCAGAAAATACCTAGATTTATGGGGTTCAGATCAAAAGTTTCCTTGATATTAGTTTAGATGATGATAAAATGGTCATTTTTCAATATTTTACCCCTATAAAATTATGAAAATCCATTTTTTGAGAGAAAATAAGCTGTGACAAAATGACTTTTGCCATTTTTGTGATGATTTTCACTTGGGAAAGACAATTTTTACCATAGGAAACCTGAATTGACTTTATTTAAGTTCAGTGGGGCTATAGGAAACCTCAAATAGCTGTGTAATGCCTCCAAAACAGAACAGCTTTCATTTAAATCACCACAGAGAACTTTTTTTCTGCCTGCCATCAACATGGCCAATGTTAAACTCCAGGAGAGCAACACTTTGCACCTTCTGGGAATCATGTTTTTCCACTGATAAGAAGTGGATCAATTATGCTGAATCATTCTTTAAGTCTTCTGCTAGATAAGATGGTTCACTTTTCATTGGAATCCTTCTTGTACATTTATAAATCTACCATTTATCCGTTCATTGAATATTCCTGCCATATTTGGTCTGGTGTTCCTACCATGTATCTAGAGATTCTTGACAAAATTCACTAAAAAGAGTTTGTAATGTAATTTTATACCTGATCTGGCATCTCACTTTAGTCACTTTCCCACCGACATGAGGGCATGGCTCTGTTTCTTCTACAAATATTTCCATGGCTACTGTTCTGATATATCTTTTTTCCTTAGTGGTTCATCTGAACGAATTCAAGCGTGCTACTAGATTGGCAACTAGGTCTCACTGTTTTACTGTTGAACTAGCTCAATGCAATCCCAACTTCTATTCTAATAATTTCTTTTCTCACACTTCTCTCCCGTGAAACATTCTTCTGGCTTCTTGCTTCCCTACCAACTACAAGTCTCAAAAATTTAAATGCAGCATCAATCACCATCGTCTGTCTTTCTGAACCCTGTTCCTTTAATTGGCCTCACCTCATTAAAGCCTTTTCTTTCACTCTTTGTAACTACCTGTGTTTTAGTGGCATTATCACCTTGCTTGGAGAAAAAAAAAAAAAAAGAAAAAAAAAAAAAAAAAAAAAAAAAAAAAAAAAAAAAAAAAAAAAAAAGAAAAAAAAAAAAAAAAAAAAAAAAAAAAAAAAAAAAAAAAAGAAAAGAAAAAAAAAAGAAAAGAAAAAAAAAGAAAAGAAAAAAAAAAAAAAGAAAAAAAAAAAAAAAAAAAAAAAAAAAGAAAAGAAAAAAAAAAAAAAAAAAAAAAAAAAAAAAAAAAAAAAAAAGAAAAAAGAAAAGAAAAAAAAAAAGAAAAAAGAAAAGAAAAAAAGAAAAAAAAGAAGAAAAGAAAAAAAAAAGAAAAAAGAAAAAGAAAAGAAAAAAAGAAAAGAAAAAAGAAAAAAGAAAAGAAAAAAAGAAAAGAAAAAAGAAAAGAAAAGAAAAGAAAAAAAGAAAAGAAAAGAAAAAAGAAAAGAAAAGAAAAGAAAAAAAGAAAAGAAAAGAAGAAAAGAAAAAAGAAAAGAAAAGAAAAGAAAAAAGAAAAGAAAAGAAAAAAGAAAGAAAAAAGAAAAGAAAAGAAAAAGAAAAGAAGAAAAGAAAAGAAAAAAAGAAAAGAGAAAAGAAAAGAGAAAAGAAAAAAAAAAGAAAAGAAAAAAAAAGAGAGGAAGAGAGAGAGAGAGGAGGAGGAGGAAAGTATTTTTTTTTACCTGATAATAATTATTGCCACTGTATGCACCAGCGAAATTAGAGCTGTTTGCTATGTGTTGAGGTGTGCCACTGGCAACTTGAGCCAGTGTGTTGTAGATGTTGTTGGGGAGACCAGCAGCTGCTCTTTGGATGGTAGCAGCATCAACACCTAAGAAAAGAGAACAAAAGAAATTAAAGCACTTTCATATCAAGACAGAAAAAACAAAAAAAATAAGATCCTTTTGTCAGTTTGTTAATAGACTAAAAAAAAAAAAAAAAAAAAAAAAAATGTTTTTTCAAGAAAATATATTTATATATATATATTTATATATATATATATATATATATATATATATATATATATATATATATATATATACCATTAAATAATATAGACAAGTGTTGTCTATTTATTTTATGTAAAATTTTTAAGTATCTTCTGATAAGTTTGATAACATTATCATTAATAAAAAAGAAATTCACAATATTTATCCATTATTTTTAATAAAATCTAACGCTTACCCAAGCCATTATCAAAGATGTAATTACAAACATATCAAACAATATACGGACACGACAGTGATGATAGTCTGTCATTGTTTTGTTTACATAGTGGATCACTAAAAATGAACACGCGCATATTAGAAGCGAAAATTGACGCGCATCTCATGACGTCACACATGACTAAGTTGTAGAATGAAATAAGGAAAGCCGTTGGTATAAACCAATGGCTTCTGTTAAAAATAGAAATTATAGACATTTAAGAATATTTGTAGAGATTCCAGTTGATTTTGTTTAGGTTGGGTTTTAACTGTTTGATGTATAATGCTTCAAGTATTTTTAGTTTTTGTCTATTGTTTTTCATGTCAGAAGTATAGTTGTGTTTTTCGACAAGTATTTTATGGAATTGTGTGCGGGCAGGCATGTTGTTTTAAATGCCTAAAAATGTTAGAGTTTTCATTAAAATGTAGTGTGTGAAAGCGAGTTTGTGGTGTGACCAACATAAATATTATTTAATTCGTTGGAATACACTCTCCCAAAGGGCACTTGAATTTATAAACTATGTTGGTTTTTGCAAATCGCTAACGGGGGAGAAGAATCATTCGAAGTATTAAGTTGGATATACTAGATTTAGTGTAGTATATGATTAATTTAATTTTTTGCTAGATTCTGTAGTTGATATATTAGAATCTAAAAAGTGAAAAACCTGACAATGAAATCATGGCTTCACTTGATGTTGAAAACTTATTTACCAATGTCCCTGTTAGTGAAACTATTGACATAATCATAAGAAATATATACAGTAACTCATCTTTACCCCACTTAAAATTAATCCTAATATATTAAGAATACTATTAACTTGTACTACTGAAGTCCCTTTCTTCGATCATAATAACAAATATATATATACAACGTGATGGTGTCTCCATGGGTTCAGTATTGGGCCGACATTTAGCAATTTCTACATAAGAACCTCGAAAATAAGTTATTCACAGATTTTAAAAACCATCAATCTACCTAAGATACGTTGATGATATTCTTATGTTAGTTAAAAATACAGATGAAATAATTCAACTTCAAAAAACGGTTCCAAAATAATTCTGTCCTTAAATTCACATATGAACTCGATACTAATAATAAAATCCCTTCCTTGACATATTGATAAACACAAATAATAACAAATTTACTATTTCGTCATACAAAAAACCTACAAGCATAAATTCATGTACACTTAACTACAAGAGCGAATGCCCATATTACTACAAAATAGCAATTATAAAGAATCTAATACATCGTGCAGAAAACTAATTCATCTACCAAACAGATTTTTTACAGTGAACTAAAGAATATAAAACAGACACTTATTAATAATAGCTTTCCAAACTATATAGTTGATGAACAAATAAGATGCTTTCTTAGAAATCTCAATAATAAGCAAATTGTACATAATACTGCTTCTACTGATCTCAAATATATTAATCTCCTATATCGTAATCAAATGCATACTAATTATAAACAAGATGAACACATACTAAAAAATTTAGTAAATTCTAATATATCAACTACAGAATCTAGCAAAAAAATTAAATTAATCATATACTACACTAAATCTAGTATATCCAACTTAATACTGCAATGATTCTTCTCCCCGGTTAGCGATTTGCAAAAAAAAACCAACATAGTTTATAAATTCAAGTGCCCTTTGGGAGAGTGTATCTCCAACGAATTAAATAATATTTATGTTGGTCGCAGCACAAACTCGCTTTCACGATGCTTGTCACTACATTTAAATGAAAACTAACATTTTTAGGCATTTAAAACAACATGCCTGCCCGCATACACAATTCCATAAAATACTTGTCTAAAAACACAACTATACTTCGACATGAAAACAATAGACAAAAACTAAAAATACTTGAAGCATTATACATCAAACAGTTAAAACCCAACCTAAACAAAATCAACTGGAATCTCTACAAATATTCTTAAATGTCTATAATTTCTATAATTGGTAACAGAAGCCATTGGTTTATACCAACGGCTTTCCTTATTTCATTCTACAATTCACTCGTAGTAGTCATGTGACGTCATGAGATCGGTGCGATTTTCGCTTCTAGCGTCTTATATGCGCGTGTTCATCGTTGCTTAGTGATCCACTATGTAAACAAAACAATGACAGACTATCATCACTGTCGTGTCCATATATTGTTTGATATGTTTGTAATTACATCTTTGATAATGGCTTGGGTAAACCCGAAAGCTTAGATTTTATTAAAAATAATGGATAAATATTGTGAATTTCTTTTTTAGGTTAATGATAATGTTATCAAACTTATCAGAAGATACGAAAAATTTTACATAAAATAAATAGACAACACTTGTCTATATTATTTAATGAAACGTGTATAAATGAAAATATGCTGCCTAAATACACACAATATATATATATATATATATATATATATATATATATATATATATATATGGAAAAGGTTATAGCTGTCCCAACAAGAGAAAAGTGTATATTTTAAAAAGATAAATCGCAAATATTTTAGGTCGTAATGTGGATTTTTTATTTTAAAATATATATATATGAGTAGATATTTCCACATTATAAAAATGAATTTTTTGTGTGGTAGTCATTCAAAGAAATGTCTAGAGATTATTGATGGCTCTGCAAGAGTGTGCTGAACAGCAGCAAAACCTCAATTCCTACTCTATTCAATCAATTTGTAATCCTGACATCTACAGCAGATAAGCTTGAACGCTTTGCGTAGAAATTCTCTTCCAACTCAATGATCAACTCTTTTGGAGTACCCACACCTGATTTTCCCCTAGAACTGAGGCTCTACTGAGTGATAGGCCCATAACTCCATCATAGTTTCTAAGTTAGACTCCCATAAGGCAAGCAGACATGATGGGATCCCAGCAGTTATCCTAAAAATATGTGCTCACAAAAGGGCTACAGTTCTCTCCAAACTCTACAACTATTGCCTCACTGCTTTCCAACTTGAACATCCTCATCTGTAGTTCCTGTTTTTAAGAACTCTGGAGAAACTTCTGACCCCTCTAACTATCAACCTATTAGTCTCCTACCAGTTTTTGGTAAAGTATTCGAGGCTTTAATCAATGCTGAAATGGTTAAGCATCTTACATCTCTCAACCTATTCTGACAAAAAAATATGAGCTGTAGCTCAAGATATCTCTAAGACATTTGACAGGGTTTGGCATGCTGGTCTTCTACATAAGTTCCACGGCTATGGTATTACTAGACAAATTGTGAAATTAAGATAGTTTTGAACAGGCTCACTTCCAGATGCTCTCACATGAACACAGGTGTCCCCAAGGTTCTATCCTGGATCATAGACTGTTTCTGATCATCATCAATGACCTTCCTGATGTCATCAGTTCCCAAGTAGATATTTATGCTGATGACACTACCATTTACTCCTGTTTCAATAGGAAATCTGTCAGAGCTAACAAAGTCAACCTGGCTGCCGGTCTTGAAAAGGACCTCCAATCTGTGGTTAACTGGGGCAGGAAATGGCTTGTAAATTTTAATGCCTCCAAATCGAAACTGCTTATTTAACCACCATAGAGAAACTTGCATGACTGATGCTAGACTCATGGAAAGCAACACACTGCACCTTCTTGTCTTCACATTTTCAACTAATTTGAAGTAGAATGACTACATCAAATCAACAGCTGCATCTATTGCAAGGAAATTTGTGTCACTGTATTGTGCCAGATCTTTCTTGTCAGATTCTTTCTTGCACATTTACAAATCTATCATTCGTCTGTGCATTGAATACTGTTGCCATATCTGGTCTGGTGCTCCTGCTACTCATCTTTTGGTTCTTGACAAAATCCAAAAGAAGTATCTGCAATGTAATCGACCCTGATTTGGCATCACAACTTCAGTCACTTTCTCACCAAAGTGATGTGGCTTCTCCCCGTTCTTTTTATACAAATATTCTCATGGCAACTACTCTGATGAGCTTCCCGCCCCATGCCCAAACTACATTAGTCTAAGAATGCTACTAGATTGGCATTTAGGTTCCACCCTTTTACTGTTGAATTAGTTAGATGTAACCCCCACTTCTACTCCAATAGTTTTTCTCGCATTTCCCGCCTGTGGAACTCCCTTCAATTTCCTTGATATCTTCAAAAATTTAAATGCAATATCAATTGCCATCTTCTTGAACCCTGTTCAGCTTTTATCCTTTCCTCGGTCCCCTCTACACCTAGTCACTTCTTTCACCTTCATTCTCTGTAACCCCTGCATACCAGTGGTATTCCCACCTTGCTTGGAGTGAAATGATTAAAAAAAGAAAATTTTTATAAATGAAAATACATATAGACATGTGTATTTTGCCAGTGGGAAAAGAAAAACCCCCAAAAACAGTTCATTTAACCAAACTGTTTTTTAAAAATATTACCTACTTAAAATGGATTTTGGTGTTTAGGGATGAGAGCAACTGATTTTAACATTTACTTTACAAATGTAACATCTCCTGATGAGTTTTCCTTTTGTGAGATGATGCTGTCATCAAAGATTTAGTCAGTTTTCATAGTTCATAATATCCTTTGTTTCTACAATAACACGACAGGTGCTCACATCTTGTAAGTTTCCTTTTTTTTTAAAAACTTTTTCTTCAAAATGTAATTTGAGGAAATGTTCTTGGTTTTGATTACAAACTATTAAACAGAATTTATGGTCAGACATTTGCAAGTTTACGCAACAGTAGAGCATATTATAAAACTATTAATTCAGTAGGCTGAGATATTGGATCAACCAGGGGTGGGCAAATCATTTTTTTTCCTTTTTTTAAGAGGGCTAGGTGTTGTTTAGTAGATTCATATAGTGGATATAAAAAAAAAAAAATATTTGAATAATGAACATAAATGAAATACTCTTTTTTTTATCTTTGATAATCAATAATAAAACCAATAATGAGAAATTGATGTTGGAAGCAATGAAAACTACAATTTATGTGTCAAATAGTAAACTGAATACACTGACCCAATTTGTGAAAGTAATCTAGTTGTCTTTACAAATCTTGTAATTTTTCATGAAGATTCAATGAAATAAATTGTAAGAGAATTGTCATTTATTTTCATTGGACATTAAGTAAAATTGAAGAAATAAAACTAATTCGAAAAAAAAAAAAAAAAAAAAAAACAAAAAAAAAAACAAATAATGCACAAAAAGAACATTTTCTTTGAAATGATTTTGTGTGATGCTCACTGCCCACTACTGTCTTAAGCTAATCTAAGCTTAGTAAATGACAACACTTCCATACAGCAGTTTGGGTTGAACAGTTTGTAAGCTGTTCATTTTAGCTCTCCCACCAAAGTAGAAAGAGAAAAGAATAGGCAACATCTCATTGTGTTGCATTTGATTTATATTGGAATCTGTCTGTACTAAAACAACTATACAAATCTCAATATATTCATTGAGTTTACAAACAGTAATTTGCCATCAATGATTTGCATTGATGATTTCTATTGCATAGGGATTCATAGGCAAGTTGAGAAAAATTAATTCAAAGAGATTCTGAACCCCATGAACAAAAGTGAAAGATTACTCTTTGGAACTGATTTCATATCAACTGATTTCTTATAACAATGAAATCTTTAAAGTTAGAAAATATATCACATAAAGCAGGACACTAAAGCTGTAAGTATACAGAAGGCGCTTATCTCCCTTTAGTAGCGAAGAGTCACGTGGATCACATGACATTCTTAATGATGTCACTCTGTACATCAACCAAAGTGGCAGACAAATTCAGTTCTTTTTATAGCAGCTAAACATGCCTCCCTCAGAAGCAGAAATCCCATGTTTTAGTTTCCCTTTGGAAATATATCTTTCCCAGATATAGGCTGAAACTCCAATTCACAGTCCTCAATTTGGGAAAATTGAAGACTTGCTGTTTCCCCATTTATGGAATATGTCCTCACCCAGGATATAGATGAATCCAGAGTTCTAAAAATGGCTTCTCCAGATACAGGAGTATCTCCATATATATGTAAGACTTTTCCATTTTGTTTCTCATTACAAGCTGCTTTGTTGTGTAGGTATATATATTATTCTCTACATGGGACGAGTGTGTATATGTTTTGTGTATGTCATAGTGATAAAAGTCATTCTGAAAACAAGCCATGTTTGTTGTTTTGTCATCTCTTTTCCTTTCAGCCATTCCATCCCATCCGTGAACTATGATGTTATTATATCATGGATATAATAATGCCCATAACAAGGGAAATACAGATGGGAAAATAAATCTTTCTACTATAGTTCACTCCCATTACAAAGTGAATCCTATATGACTTGGTTTTATTGAATTTTACTTCATGCATTTTCTTTGTTTCTTTTGGGGACATTGAACTGACTAATATTTGGTAACCATACTGTGATTGCTTGAAATCAAACCTGCAACATTTGCCTGAACATATCTGTATTTCAAAATGCCGCCAAGGTACCAAGTATAAGTTAAGATTGTTGAAATTAATATTCAATGCAGGCAAGAAATGTTTTGTCCAATAAGCCTCCAATATTTGGTCTTGTTCCAAACAAAATTCACTTTAATTTGCATAAATTCTGAAAAACAATTTTTTTTTTTTTTTACCTTGCATAGTAAGAGCAGGAGTTGTGAAAGGTGGAGCTGGTGTTCTCGAACTGCTTGATGGTGTTCCTGCAAGAAACACATGTTAGTCAATAGCAAAACAATTTGCAAACATTTCACATCTTTAAAAACATCATGCAATGAACATGGCAACTAAAATTTAAGCAGAAAAGACTTTTAGCCAATCATGGTTTCCATTTTAAGATATTCTTTAATCAAAATACAAAACTTAAGATCAGTTTTTTTAAATAATCATTCCATTTGGCTTTTATCAATATATTTTGGCAAATGTATTCTTTTGTGACACTGAGATCTCCTGAGGCCGATCAAACAACAAAGGAGGAAGAGAAGAGAGTCTACTAATTAGATGATAATTGTTGAAATTTACAGGAAGATGGAATGTTAACAAAATTAAAAAAACAAAATGCATTGAAAAAAAATTGAGATAATTCCACGGAGAATCTAACCCAGATTTAACTAGACAAAATTCTGTAAAGTTAAACAAACCCAAGACTGCCAGCCCACCTCCCACTGATAAGAGCTCATTAAGGTATCTGTTAAGATGTCAAATAAAATAAAAACATGCTGTGAATCAACATCCCAGATAAAAAAAAAGATAATTTTGGCAAAATTTGTCCAGAGAAAATTTTATATCCAAACATTAATTCAGATCCACTTGGATGCAGGAGGTCAGGAAAAAATTAATTACTATTTTTAAAATAGCCCTGAGCAGGAACAGTGTGATCTAGTAGATCATAAAACAAGAGAAAAGATAAATTTTCGTTTTAAGGAGAAGGGAAATAGATTTTTCTTTCTTCAATTCTTGAGTGGTTTGGTCAATCGAAGAGATCCCAGTATGGGGCAAGCTGATAGATAAGAACTAATGACTGAAAATTCCTTTTGTCTTTCACTGTACCATCTGAAAGTTGGATTTATCACTCTAACCTGAGGAAGCCTGTCAAGAAAGTGGGAGGAGAAAGAGAAGGAAGAAGAAAGCAAACTAATTTTTCTTAAGTTTTAAAAACATCCTCAGGTACTAAGGAAATTTTAATTAACAGGAAAATTATTTACCTGGAATAGGATCTCTGAAATGTTCTTTGAACCAACGAATCAGAGAGTTGAGTGAATGGAAAGTCTGTGATCTGTAACGAATACCATCTGGAGTAACTGTGACATATTCGTGCCGTGGTTTGTTACGGGGCAAGTAGGACAACATAAACTTGCCTGGGAATTGGTAGGAAACAGTCAGCAAATAAGGAATTCTGCAAGAAACAAATCAATTCCACTGACAAAGAAAACATAAACATGGTAATATATAAATAGGAAAATAGTTAGCAATGGTTAACAAGCCAGTCTTGTTGGTTCAATTTTCATAAGGTCTCTTTTGGGCTTGATTTGTGGACATGATAGTTGGGTATTTCACATCAGTGTTAAGTAAAAACCAGGATTGTGAATAATGTTTTTGCTAAAATAAAGCAAATTCCTTCAGTATCTGCCTATAATTCTGAGATAAGGTATTATGTACATTATTTACATTATTCGGAATATAGTCCTTATCTTTGTCGCCATATTTATTACATTTCAGCCATTGTATGCTCCAGCCTTCTTCAGGTGGTTGGAATGTTGAACTTAACCCTTTATTTTGGTTACTGGGGTAGACTGTCCTAGTTCCACATGCCATGTTTAATGGATGTCAGTTATCAGTTATCTCCTGTTAATTTTCCTCTGAAAGTTCTCCACTGCCATAACCGGGTATTGAACTCACACTCTTTGGGTCCTGTCACTGGATTTAACCAACGCCTTTATCCACTGTGCCACATGTCCTTGAGGAGCGAAATAAAGGGTTAAGTTTGACATTCCAACCACCTGAAGAAGGCCGGAGAGTACAACGGCCGAAACATTGTAATAAATATGGCGACAAAGATGAGGACAATAGTCCGAATAATGTAAATAAAGCAAATACCATCCTCCTTTTCCTATACATGAATTTTGTGTAATAAAAACAAAGTTTAAGAAATATCAAGATAAACATACAAATTCTGATGATAAATTTACTCATTTTTATCTATCATTAATGGAAGAAAGTAAAATTATTTCCAGTAATGAAACACAGATAGAGAGAGAGAGATTCACTATAAGTGAGCAAAATTCAGTTGGGGTAAATTCTAAAGGTGTTTGAAAAAATTTCAAGTAAGAGTTGAAATATTTTATCTCAGTTGCTGCATAGAATGAAACAGAATCTGAAATGTGCTTTTATGAAATACATTCTTATGGAGAACTTTATCAATACAACAAAAATAAAGAAAATCCAAGTCTTCATTTTATAATTGTATTTATTGCTGTCTAAAGTAACACCAGATTAATTTGGTTGACATTATAAATATCAATTCTTTGCTTAATACTAACAAAGAATGTGTAGATAAACAAGTGTTACATTAGATAAGATAATATTTGCATTGTGTCATCAGTGTTGTAATAAGCACGAAAGATTTTACAGATGGTTTGGGTGGTGGTGGTGGTAGGGATAAAAAGAGAAAAAAACAAAAAACTGAACAAGAAATAAAGAAAGTCTATATTTACCTGGAAGGTGCCTTTTTCTTTTCCTCAATAAGGCCTTTGTCTATCACGTCTTTTTTACCATCACAGCCATCTTTGTAGTATTTGAAATGAATGATATCACGGGCAAAGGCTGCCATTGGCTGAATGTGTCGAGCTATGATTTCATCCAAATCTTCAAATTCCTGTAAAAAGAGCAACTCAACAATGGCAGTAAACATTTTATGAATTAATAGCAATTACAAATCAGTATAACATTTAAAGTTTGAATGCACAGCACTTTGATTTCATAATCGCAAAATTCAGTATCTGCAAATTATTTTGAAATTTGGTTTACTCTGGTTTCTTTTACAGCATATCAACCTCAACGGGTTATTTAATCCCAACAAGATTTTTATTACTGGTAAGATTTTTTTCCTTAAAAAAAAAAAAAAAAAAAAAAAAAAAATATTGCTGATATTTTTTTCCTCAAAAAACTATTGCTGGTATTGAAACCTATTTTTACACTTTCATAGTGTTTTAACCCCAGTTTGGGGGTTAATTATTTGCCCATATTTGGGATCCTAACAGTTGCTACCACCTCAGGTCAGGGTGGATCTGGGAACACCAGCAATTAAGAGGCAGTTCCACGTTCCTCAAAACCTGATCAGAGGCCTTGCTGTTGGACGCAGTTCATCGTCTTACCCACAACGTGGATGTAGTTTGTCTTATCCAGGATGTTTTAAAATTTGAGAAGAGGAAGAGAAGATGGTGGCCTACTGGAGTCCCTACACTCCTCAAAAATATTTGAATCCATTTACAATATTTTGTGACACACAATGGAAAACAGAATTAGTGAAACAAATTCAAATTGCAATTGAGCTTTCTTATTTCAATTTGGTAAAAAACAAACATAGCAAAGCCAAGAACACATCTCTCCCTGCACTCTGTCCTGTAACTGGTACATGTAACATGTTGACAGAAGTGTGCAGTCAAATTGGTATCAGGTAACCTCACCTTATGTGGAATGGAGCTGGGCACAAGCCAACTAAGTCACACTTTTCTTAGAAATTCTGACACTCTCGAGACTGCAATTCTTCATTTAAAGCAATTCACTAAACACTTTTCTATAGATTGTATTTCATTTGTATTCCTCATAATGGCAAATATGACACAAAATTGGTTTAGTATCTGACCCCCAAAACATGTCTAAGACAAAACAAAATTGTCCCAGCCTCTGCAGCCAGTGACAGAAAAGCATCAGGACAATCCACAACTCTTCCTTTTAGCCTGCTTCATTTAAAGTGACCCCCAGTCAAAAGCCGATCAGTGATATATCTCCAATATAGAATCAACACATCTTAATATGATTAGAACAAAAATCTGACTGAAATTATGCAATAAAAATAATCACATGATCTTCATTCAAATAAACTCCTGAATAACAAAAGGCACATACTCAAAATAACCACATGGAATAGTGTGTGTGTGTGTGTGGTCTCATTTTGTTTTCAACCTCTACTGAATGTTAGAGAGAAGAGAGAAATGTCTAAGAAGAAATATTTTCACAAACCTCACTGCCAATCCAAAGGGATCTTCCCAAACTGAAAGCATTCTCTTTGCCTTCTTCTCGCACATCAATGTGCTGCAAAACTTCCTCAGCAGTTTTCCACGTCACAGTCAAATGGTCAGCACCCTAAAGCAAAATGTACAAGATAAGCTATTTAAAACAACAATAAACATAAAATTTGCAACAAAGTATTATTTGTGAATGACATTTTATCTTTATACAATCCATTATAGTACAGAATTAGTGTTTTTTTATGGCTTCATCAAATTTTATTAATGTTTGATGAACAATACATCTGTTTATATCTTTGAGATTAGATATTATGATTCTTTACACTATAGAACAGATACATCTTTAATATAATAGAATCTTTTATAACATGAATTTGGACAGAGCATGAGGATTCCCTAATTTACAATTTTTCTGAAAACCATCAAAATTGAGAAAAATCTTCCTCAGATTTCACATTTCTGAATCACAAAAATAATAATAATAATAAAAAAAAAATCCAAAATAGTGACACTTCAGGTTGCAAATTGTAAATTAAAATTTTCATAAAAGTAGGCTTTGTATTTCTTGAGGGTGTTTTGCTATAAAATACAACATAGCACTTTTTGGATATCTACAATCATGACAAGATCTGTCAGTATCTGTAGAAATTCTCTGTTCTTAGAAGAAAAATGGTAATTTTACTCTATGTCAATAAAATATTGTTTTTTGTAAAAGATTGCTTTGTACTAAAGACATTTAATATTAATAAAGCTTGGAGGAATCATTTGAAAGGAATATTTTTTTTTGCTTTTTTCTTTTATCTACTATTTCTTAAAAATCAATTCAGATTCAATGTTACCGATTTAAAAAAAAAAAAAAAAAAAATTCTCCTTTACCTTGCTGCTTGGTCGAATGATTACTTCCCCTTGGTCCATTCCAGCCATTAACTTTTCACATTCTTTAAAGCTGATGTTATGAAATGAGGGATGGACAATCACTCGCTTGATGTAAGCTGAAACAATAAAAAGACGACACTGGCGATTTGAAAAATTTAATGTTATAAAAAAAATTTGCAAATATAATGGTTATAAAATAATTCTATTAGAATAATTTGGTAAAATGTGAAAATTTGTGTATAACCAAACCCAATCTACCTGAATTGGTCAGAAATTTGGAATCAATCATCTTCCTGATTACTTTTAGAAGAATTCTAATCCTTTGCATGTTTGAAATCATTTGTCATTGAAGGAGATTTTTGTTTGAGTTCCAAGTGAACATCAATAATTTTACCTTGTGATATTTTTAATAGAGACATGCAAGACAGCAGTGATTAACAACAAACTGCTACAACTTCAGGTGTACATCCCAAAGTTCCAAGAAACACAAATCAGTGACTATACACGAGAGAGAGAGAGAGAGAGAGAGACTACGTCACCTTCTGGCACTAGAAGGAGAAGCTCAGCAGAGATTGGACTCTCTCAAGCATACGGGTAAGTTTTTTCATTTCCAAGAAGTCACTATACAAAATATTTTTGAGTTGTAATCTGATAAGACATTATCCAATCTCCTGTGATGACAAAGAAGCATTAGCCATAGATACTTGACTAGAAGGGGAAAAAATCCCACCATCGATTAGCCTTCACAATGACAGTTATTAATACAAAAAAACAAAAAATAATAATGAACAACACTCTTACTTTGTCTGGCCTGAACCTTTCTTCGGTCTTCCTCCTTTGTCAGGTCACTTTTTTCAGCATCAAAATCAAAATAGAGATCTCTCTGTGGTCTGGAGAAAAAAAAAAAACACGATCATAGAGGAAAGAAAATTGAATTTTCAATTTTTAATCAATAATGAAGTGTTTACTTTGGTGATCATTAAGCATGAATTTATGCTATAAATTATTTTCAAACTATTTTTTTTTCAATTTTGTTTCTTTTATTAAAGTTTTAGCTGAACACTACAAGTGGCTAGTGAAAAGTTCCTGGCCCAATCAAGAAAGTATTAAAAAAAATGTTTTTGTTATTTGGCTATTTGGTTAGGCATGTAATTATTTCACCCTTCTTTATGTGTACACTGTCACTTTAGAAGTTCACTTGGTACTTTTTTTTTCTTTTTGTTTTTCTAATATTGGACTTAATTTAGTCTGGCACACGGCCAGTATGGATGAAATTTTAAGAGAAAAAAAAAGTAAAGAGAATTGCTTCACAAATTTCAAAGACTACATCATTCTGAAATATCAACAAAACCATTAGATAAAAAAAATAAAGAGAAAATCAGAATACATCATTTTAGATTATAAGCTGCTAATCATGATTAATCAATGGGAAAGGTTTTAGAAAATATTTAATTTTCACCATCTACGAAAATAAAAAAAGTTAATACCATGATTATGTTTCTATCATATTCTAAAAAAATCATATTTTTCCACAAAAACATCAATTTTTTTTAATGTTTTAAAGAATTTAAAGTTGCAGACATGAAATGAACATATTTTCAAAAATCAACACTTACTTCCAGTTGCCATCTTTGTCTTGAAGATCTGAAGAACGACATGTAAGTTCCACTTGGAATCGATCAATATCAATTTTGGTAATTCTGCAGTGTAGTGTTTGGCCAATCTAAAGAAGCAAACATGAATAATAAGTCAACTTGGAATAATAAGCAAAGAAAATTTAACAATTTCTGGAAATGGCTATGAAGACATACAAGAATAATTAAAACTTGTTCAGATTTTAATTAATGCATGATTGTTAATGACAAAAAAAGGAATTGAGAATTACAATTTCGTAATTCTCATGATTTTTGTCATTTTTACTTAACAGAATATTTTGGGAAGATGAAAATATGGTTTACTTACCTTTACTCTGTCTTCAGGGTTTGTCACTTGTTTATCACTAATCATTTTTGTTGGAATGAAACCAGAAACACTATTATCCAAACGAACTTTGACCCCAACAGCAGATCCTGGGCAGTTACCAGCATCAAAATGGCTCCAAACCTTAAAAAGTTTTTTTAAAATTTTAATAAATAAATTTGAAGATTCATGGCAAAGTATGGATGTTCCTAAAATTGAACATCGCTGAAGAACAGCTTAATTGGTCTAATGGTCCAAGTTAAAGGCAAAAGAAAAGATAATGCCCTCATTTTTCAACAGGGAGTGAACAAAGGCTGTTCTTGCTGCCATGCTATTCAGTCCCCCATATTCTCTGATATGCCAATGACCACCTTCAACAATACAGAGATTAATATTCATATCTGATAACTGTATTGATGGCTCAAATCTTCAATGTCAGGAAGCGTCAAGACAAATAAGGTTTTGATAGATAACATCAACGACTCTTGGTTTGTCAATGACTATGCCCTCAATTGCTGCCTCAGAGACTGACATGCAGTATTGTGTTGACAGGTTTTGTAGCTTCACAATCAAAGTGATGCATCAGCTGGCTCCAAGAAAGACATGTTGAACCTCACATCTTCATCAATAGGCAGCAGCTTAATATAGTGGATAAATTCACCTAAGCTGGAATGCAGATTCTTTCAAACTGCCATCGCTGACGATGAAATGAATGCCAGATGTGCCAAGGTCAGCACTGCATTTTGCAAGACAAAATGTCTGGAAAAGGTGAGGCTTCAGTTTAGAAATAAATATCAAAAGCGTACAGAGTCATAATTCACTCTTCCCTGCTCTATATGGCCATGATGCATGACATTCAAGGAAGCTAAACCACTTCTATTTCACCCACCTAAGAAAAATTCTTGGCATTAAGTGGCAAGAAAAGATTCACAACACAAAGGTACTCTCTCATAATGAACTTGCCCAGCATCCACACACTCACAATGCAATCACAGCTGCACTGAAAAGTTCATGTAGTTTGCATGCCAGATCACCGGTTGCCAAAGAAAATGTTACCTATCCACATTGCAATAAACACTCTTCCATACAAAGATTTGACTACCTAGTCATCTCTGTCCATTCACAAAGCCTGACCAACAAAAAAATGGCTACATGACCTGTATTGGATCAATAGACGAACAAATTTTTATTTTAATTACATATTAAAAACTACAAACAGAAAATCAAAGCAAGCAGAAATACAATTACCCCAAATTGATGCAAATGACAGAATATAACATATTTACATTTATTTCTGGCTGTTTGGCTACAAATCTGTTTTAACAGAATTTTTTTTTTATAATCACTATATTCTAAGATTTAAAAATGATCTTACAATGAATACAATCATTATTACATGAAAAGTCCGTTTAGGTTTGATATTTATCATATGAACTTTGTTAGGAGAATAAAATATAGAATAGCCATGGCTTGCTTTTTAATGTTTACCAAATTTTGCTAACCAAAAAAATGTGTATGTTTAAACTGAATTTAATAATGCCAATGGGTCATAAAAGGGGTATAATGCTATTGAATCAGTTACGCATTTATTTCAGTATATTCTTATCAATAGATTATATATAGCATTCAGTTTCTACGAAAATGATCAAAATCAGATAGTCACAAGTAAAGATTATGTTAAACTGTTTTGTTTTTTTTTTGAGTTGCAACAAAAAATGAACAATAGCAAGATCCTCAGAATTTTTGTTTCTTGAATGATTCAAGGTCAAATAAAAAAAAAATATTTACTTCACTAAGTTCAGGAAAATCTTTTTTCTGACAAAATGGACATTGCCATAATCCAGTTTCTTCATTCCTCACAGGGTTTGCTTCATCAAGTTGTTCTCCCTGTGGTCGCTTACGAGCAATGCCAGTCACAACACACAAAACCAGTTTACCTGTGAAGGAGGGGAAAAAAGAAATTGTAAGTAAATCACAATAATGAAGGTAGAAAATAAGAAAAGGCATAAGTTTCAACACAGCACAATTTACAATCGTCATATCAGGGGGCATATAAAAGGCTACTTCGTCTTAATTGTATTTGTGTATTTATAAATATGAATAGATAGGTTCACCCATCGTTCAGTCTATACTCCTGCCCGGTCTTTTGAACAGGAGAGGTTCATTCCTTGCCTCCTGTTTAGGAATGGGTTTCCAGTTTCTTCTAAAATCTTTTTCATTCTCTTTCGGTCCCAGTAGCCCCTTACATCTGATGTAATGGAATCAGTCACCCCCATGAGTGATTACATTATAGGTAATAAGTACCTATAAAGACAACTGTCTACTGTAGATGAATGAGAGGACACAAAAAGAAGATGCAAGCATGTCTGACCTTCCAATTAGTGGCACTCACTACTAGATTGACCTGTGTGTATAACTGTACTGTATTTCATATTGTACTGATTGTGTACAATAAACCTTTTTTCTATTATCCAACTGGTGTTAAGTATTTATTCCCTTAGAACGGAATATAACAGCATCTTAGTGGCATTATCCACTTGTTTGGGGTGAATTGATAAAAAAAAACCAAAAAAACAAAGGTCAGTTTTGCACAAATGCCTTTGGAAAAGGCAATAATCTATCTCTTCCTTCCTCATCCAGCTATGGGTTAAATAGCCAAGTAGACTTGGGTGGCAACCAACATAAGAGAAAGAAAACTGAATTCCAAAACATGGAATAGGCAACAGGAAGCCACTCTTATCTGTCCCAAGAATGCATGATAATTCACAGCTAATAAAGAAAAGAAATATTGCTTACATCCTCTGAAGGTTCATGGCATTTAAGAAAGAATGTTGGAAGTAGCTAATAATTTAACAAAAAGTCATATGTCAAACATGAGATTAACTTTGAAATCTAAAGGGAACAAAAAGAGAGAGAGAGTTGCATCTACTCACCAACATAAAATGTAATCGGAGTTTCTTTCGTTAGCATATTGAATTTTTCTTCATTGTTAGGTGGCCTGAAAGGTGTTCTCAGATCTTTGTAACGATGGTTCAACTCAGCTCGGATATCATACAAAGTAATGTGTTTATTACCATAGCCCTGAAATTAAAAAGGACTCAATAAAACTAACTAATAAAAAAAAAATGGGTATACCAATTCAACCAATGGTCTCATAGGCACCATCTCAGATTTTGATGAAATTTTAGCATGCTGTATCCACCCATGAAAACCTAAAATTTTAATTTCCTTAGACACTTGGTTCAGGAGTTATAGCCTCTTGAAATTTGGTGTCAATTTTTCCCGATTTCAAAATGGTATGATTTGCAAAATTTGGTACTACTTAACTTTGTATTCTTGGATGATACCAAGTTTATATTTAATGGTTCTATAGTCTAATATATGGAGAAAACACTTGTTTTTATTTTATTTCTATTTTCTATAGTGCTATGATTAAAAATTGCTATTTTGTAATTTTTTGGTGTGTGTTTTGTCAGATTAAAAAATAAAGATTATAATCAGTCACCCATTGAAATATTTGTTTTACAAGAGTTACAGGATTCCTAGTTGACAAAAATGTCTAATTACCAAGTATATATAAAGAGATTATTAAATGAAAATAGTAATGCATCATTTTTATGTAATTACCTGCCGATCAAGTTCTTCAGCAAAGGCATCAAGATCAAGGTCTTTCAGTCTTTCAGGGCTTTCCAAAATTTCTTCCAGTGCACCAGCAGGGTTTGCATCTTCAGCAGTGTCATCATATTCAAGAGCATCCACTGCCATTTTTCTGGCCCATTCATAAGTTTCAGGGTGGACCCGAGAACCATCAAGAACCTCAACATAAGCTTCAGTACTGAGAGAAAAATGAAAACAAGAACAATAAATAAAAATTAAAAAAACTACAATTTGAAATCCCTCAACAGTAAAAGAGTAAAAAAATTGCAGAAAATTTTCTTTTTCTTAAGTTTCTCAAAGAATTTCATTGCTGAGCTATTTTTGATTCTAAGAAAGTCTTTCAAAGCTTTTTTGAAAATAGATAAATTAAAAGAAATAAAAACAATAGTGACTCTCGGATGTAAAGAATTATTCCTAAAAGAATAATTGAAAATATTCTCACAGAAATATTGAAAATGGGGTTCAGAGATCATTTTGTGATAAATGAATTGGAAAGTAATGTGGTTCTTACCATAAATTGAATAACAACAACTTACCTGTCTCCCAGAGAGCTGGTATCAATTTTAATAAAGCCAGCACAGTTAATGAAAACTTTGGGACCCATATGACACACAGTTACAAGTTGAGTGCGATTTTCTAAGCGGCTATTGTTTTGTTTGAGAATCTAAAACAGAAATTGTAAAGGAGACAAAATAATTGAATAGAATGAAGTAATATTAAATCAATTTTACATTATGATAATTATATCAGCTATAGAGGCAAGAAGTCAATATTAATAAAAAGCTTTGCTTTCTATATTTTATAAATTAAAATAATGGTACAAAAAAAATAAAATAAAATAAATAAATAAATAAAAATATGGAAACCTTAATATTTTAACTCCTATCATTTACATGAATTGTGATTATAGATAAAATCATTCTTATATATTGATTTATTGAAACCAATTTTCTTGCTATTATTGATTTTATCTCAACTGGCTGCTGACCTTACACATGTACATTCTTTGTAAGACTGGTGCAAAAAGATCTTTGGCTACCCCTCCCATTCCATCTACTTGGTCATGTATAGACATAAGCTAAGCTTTATAAATGACTGTATTGCAGATGTAACAGTTGATCATTTGTGATGATAGGAGGATGAAGACTAAACAGAAAATACAAACCCTAGTAAGATGGGACCCTTTCCTGGGTCCAAGGCCACAAACAAACTGGAGCAAGGAGGCATGATGGTTGTAGTCAAGGGCTTGGTTAACATCAACCCCGACTTCATTGACACGGTTGATGAATTCAAGGTGGAGAGCATTCAACAAAATGTCTTTTGGCAAACAATCCTAGAAGAGGAAAACAGAAAAAAGATCAAGTTATAAAACGAAGACATAGAAGTTTCTCATGAAAGTACTCTGAAAATCATTTTAAATATATTGTTATTGTTTGAAAGGAAGATAATAAAAAAAATATGTGCTTACTTGTAAAGGATGGTATTTGAGGCAAAGGATATCTTCATCTGGATTGCACAAGGAAGCAAATTCAATCAGAGGATCTTGAAGACGACGGGCAACAGAGACAGCATGACGTAATACAGGAGGATAATCACGGAATTCATTCTGTACACACAAACACATATTAATTAACACACACACACATTAAATAGATGTTATAAAGAACATACTAAACCATGTCAAAGTAATTTTTTCTTTACAAATATTTTATAACAAACTGAGTAACAGATGTGAATACACATGAACAATAGTTTCCCAAATGATGTTTCTGGCAAACAAATAAAATTAGTTAAGGAAAAAAAAAAAAAAAATTTTATTGTAACCAAAAGTATCCTAAATAAGATGAAAAACCATTAACAATATAATTCCCTTAATGATTCAAGTTAATACTTAACATTTATCATAAAATATTTACATTTCAAAAATCATCATCATATATAAACAATGTTGTTAATGAATTCATATGTGCTTTGGGAGATTGTATCTCCAACATTAATCAAAAAACACTGAATTCTCATATTGGCCAAAAAACCACCAGACTCTTGTATGTTAACTTGTTACTTATAAAAAGTTTAGTGCAATATGTACAAATATTGATCAATATATCACCAGAAATCACAGCCTGACTAGCAACATAAGATAAATATTCATAGAAAATACAAGATCTATAGCTCTCATTGTAAAGAAATGACTTGAAACTTTTTACCACAGAGGAAGGCATTTTTTGATGTGCATAATGTTATTAAATCCCTACATGCTGTATACTTTTGTGTACCCTAATAGACTAAGAAGAAAAAAAAAGAATTTAAAATGCATATTCCTTACAAACTGTTTTTTTTTTTTTTTAATCTCATTTACATTTGATCTATCTAAATCTAAATTAGAATTCTAAGATTTCTAAAAACTACAAGGATGAAGGCAAAAACCTTTTCCCTACTGTAAATGATAACATTAATGCTTCTAATAATGACTAAAGGGATGATCAAAAGCCTTCTTTTATGTGCTGTGTCCATTCAGGATGTGTGTGTCCATGGCTGTCCACAACTTCCTGTCCTTTAGAGAGTTTTTTTTTTTTTTTTTAATAAATTCAATCCAAATGTGCAATAATTTATATGCAAACTGGAAAAATAAAATATATTAGACAAACTTTGGTTGATTTTCATAAAACTTGTTTAAATAAGTATTGATACAATTATACACACACAAAAAATGGTACTGAAAAGTTATCAGCATAACCCACTTCTGAAAATCTGACTAAATAACCAAATTTCAATTTTTTTTTCTTCAACTGAACAAGGGTTTCTTGGTTGAGCTGAGAACTTTCCAGCACCACCTTGGATGATATATGAAAATCTATCAACTCCTTGAAAAGGTTAAATTTTTGTTCCAAGCTTATTTCAGACAATTGAATTTCTTGTGTGTGTTTCTTAATCCTTCTGTGTGCCAATAAAGCATTCAAGTTGACCCCACGGCCAAAAAAATATGGAAGAGAAGAAAAAAAAAAAAAAAAAAAAAAAAAAGAAAAAAAATAAAAAAAATAAATACTCACCATGGCTCGATTGCTGTTCTCATAAACCAATGCCAAGTCATGTTCAACCAATTCCACATTGATAGGAGGAATGTCTTCCTGTTCCAGTTCAATGATTATAGCTTTAATATCATCAATGATCATCAAACTCTCTCTGAAGTAAAACAAAGGAAAACATTAATCTTCACTTGAACAAATTTGATACATTTCTTAAAATCCAATTGGATTTAGAATGGATTTTTTTTTTCAATGGTTTCCTTTCTAGGGTCAAACAAATGTTACAATACCTCACTTTGAAAATTAAAAAAAAAGATAAATAAAATTTTTTAGGATGCACCAAACCTTTATACGAAGTTTTAAATATTTCAGGCAATAGAACATATAGTACAATAAAGAAAAAAAAGTTGTTTGATTTACACTTTTTATGGCTGGGTTAGATTGTTCCGTTATTCCTAGACATGATGAGTGAAACAAGAATAATCTTCCCTTTAGATTAAATAAAGAGTTCAGCTTAAAATTCCCTGAATGCTACCTGGATTAACAAGTACCTGATGAAGGCCTGAAGCCACAATGACTGAAATATTGTAACAACAACAATGATAATTGAGAGTAAATAATCATACCAATGACAATACAAAAACTAAGTTCATTATATTACCTACATAACTAATGATCTTAAAAGAAATTTAGCTAATCTCAACATAGAGGTAATCAATATAAAACAGAGAGTAGTTGTTTCTTAAATGTCCCCAAACTGCATTGGTGATAAATCACAAGATTTAACCTTTATCACTCTGTATATGACTTCATTTGCTGTACAAAAGGTTTATCCTGTCACTGAAAGTGATTGACCCCTGAATTTGTATTTGTTTGAATTTCATAGTTATGTTTTCATATACTGCTATGGTAACAAAAAACAACTTTGAGTAAAATTAACAATAAGGATATTGCAATTGAGAAAGAATGCAACGGAAAGGGAAGTAATATTAATAATGCAGAATGATAAAAGGTTAAAGACCAAAATATACAGACATAAAAGTGGATTAAAATCAAACATTCAAACAATACATAAGTTCTACAATTCATTTTAAACTAATCTTATAACATTGCTAATAATATATGTTCATTTGTAAACACAATTTTTTATCTATATCACTGTTATGGTGAAACACACCTATTATATAGTTAATAGACTCTCCCACCTAATATAAGTAGGTGTAGTAATAGAAACAGCAGTCGGTCAGTGAGATGATGTCGGACGACAGTTAGTCGAATACGAAAGTATCAGCGACCACAACAAGATTTCTCTGCATAATACCTATTATATCAAGTTCCTAACGTTTTGTACGTCGAACCTATTTTAGGACCGATTTAGTACAAATACAAGACTCCACTGCAAAATCACTCCACAACAATCACTTGATATTTTTACAGATTAATTAAAAAAAAAAAAAAAAAAAAAAAAAAATTACAATTTTAATTAAAACATTTAGAAAAAGAAAGAAAGAAAAAAAAAAAAAAATGAAAGAAGCCATAAAATGTAAAAGCTACCTTGATTCTCCAGTAACAGCCACAGCATGAGGTTTCTTTTTGGCCATAAAAGCCTTAAGTCTGGCTATGTCCTTTTCCTATAGTAAAAAATTGCAAACATTAATGAGGATATAAAAAAAAAAAAAAAAAAGGATTTCTTCGTTGCAACGAAATAAGGAAAAATAATTACATTAGCAACATATTCCAGTTCTTATTTCCATTCAACGTTATGGAGTTAGATGACGGACTAAAAGTACTATTGGTTAATTATTAACATTTGAATTTCACATAAAAGATCTGGATATTTTTAAAGCCTTAAAAACAAATTGCCGGAATGGGAGGCATCTTCTCAGCCTTCAAATACGACACATCAAATGTTTAGGTTAATGTAACAAGTTTAATTTCTATTAAAAAAGAAACTTTGATTAACTTGTTGCCAAAACTGAAATTTCTTCTTGATGGCAGTTAATCAACAAATATAAAAATAAATCAAGAATATTTTATGAACTGTCATCTTTTGTTTATTATTGCTTCCAATGCAAATGGCCCAAATATCCAATGAAAGAGATTGGACTATATCACTTAGAGAATGCTTAAGCCATATTCATTTTCTTCAAATAAAATTTAACCTCTCACCCCTTTCAAAAAGGTCATTAAAAAGAACTTTTATTAAAGTAAGATGATGTGTCAAGTTAGAAAATCGGAAGACATTTGAAAAATTAATCTTTTTTTTTCTTTTTTCTGACCTTGGCTTCTTTGTCTTTTGGTCGCCATGCATTTCGTCTTTTTGTCATGTCCTGTAAACGAAGGAAATCTGTCACTTGACCATTTCCATCAATGATTGTAGCAAATGCAGGAGTATCCCTTGAAGAATTAAAAAAAAACCCATAAACATTAAATATTCATGAATCATTGTGGAAGGATAAACTTTCAAAGCTTAAGTGAAACCTATAAACAAATACAATCAACAATTCTTAAAACATTTGTACACACACACACACAGGTGAGAGAGGGAGGGGGTACCATAATGCTCATAAGTATGGAAAATGGAATTGGCAAATTGAATCCAGATGAAGCAGTTTATATGTTCACTAAAGGAATCTTCTTGAGAAAGGCATGGCACCATCTCTCCCAATAAGTTAACTCAGGGATTACTTCCTGCTACTCATGCTGTCAGCTATAGATAAATAACAGCAGTTGGAACTGTTCAACATTGTAATATATGTAAGGTAACCAAATTCCAACAGAATACTACTGTTTAACAGTATTTAAATAAGCATAAAATGTAATATAGTCATTGAAGTACCCTGTAACATGTTTTCAGACATGTACTTCAGTTCTGTTATTCATTATTTACATATTTATGTAGTCATAACATAGCATTCAGTTCAATTTAGGTAGTTTTTCCGTTATTTATAACTGACCTGTGACTTATAACCAGGAAGAGGCAGAAACAGTAAGAGGCTGACAAGGAACTTTTTTTCTGCTTCTATCACCTGTGTGTTTTTTTTTTTATATCTACAACTGGTCTCAGACAACATGGTAAATATCTATTCTCTACTACTGAACTGAAATTCTTCAATTTAGAAGACACTCATTTATTGAGTTTGTTTCCAATTATTTGTTACCCATTTATTCCTTTCTTGGAAATGTAAATTTTTTTTTTTTGCTTGTTCCTTTCTTCAAAAAGCTATTTTGTTTATTTATTCCCCTTGTGGTTTTCATGATGTTGATACTTCAATTAAGGATAACATCAATACAAAGTATGAACCTCTAATCACAATCAACAGGTCATTATATTAACAGTAAACCCAGTGTGTGGCATGCAGAACATTTTCGTTACTTTAAACGCTACTTTTAGGAGATGCACATATTTGAGTAGATGTCCCATTATTTTTATTTTTTTAAAACAGTATGTATTACGCCTACCTTCCTGTGCACAGAAGAACTTAAGTGCATATAATTTAAAATTTCTAAAATGATATGAAACAGATTCAAAAGTTTCAGGCTCAATTTTTTTAATTTCAGTGAAGAGAAATTGTTCTACAATGAATTTCAACAAAATTCAAATTTATTGAATTCTTAAGATACTGAAAAGAAAATGATTAAAAAAATAAATAAAATAAAGTTACCTGTTGGTTGAATAAGCCACACCCATGACTTTCAACCCATTGTTGTTGTCATCATAATCATAGTCATCATCCAATTGTTGGTCAACTTGATAAGGAGCTACTTTTAGCCAGTTGAGTAATTTACGACAGCAAGCCTATGCAAAAAAAAAACAAAACAAACAAAAAAACAACAAAAAAAAAAAAACGGCCAGCTTTTGTTTTCTGGTTTGTTTTTGTTTTCCAAATCACAACCAATACAAATATTCATATCATCATACTATCAAAATATTAAAAGGAAAAATAATGTAAGAAAATCATTTCTTGTCCCTACTGCAAAAAGAAAGAAAAATAAATAATCTCTAAATATATAAAAAAAAACAAAAAAAACTGCCCTTTGCATAATTTTGAAAGATGAAAATGATTAATCTTTTCACATCAAATTAATTTCGATTAACACGTCACTTAGAACGATTACTTGGCTACTTATGTAAATGTAAAAACGGTCTAAGTTGGCAGGAAGTGACAGATGACTATAAAAAGGCACTGTGATCATTTACAGCTAATTTGTTTAAAATAATGTTCTGGCTATTGTTTGCATCACATGGCAATAATTATAAGTAAAATCATGCACTAAAATAAGTAATCAAGTAATCGTTTTAAGTTTTCTGAATATTGGTGCCTTAATCATGATTTTAAAATTGCTTTATTAAAATGAATGCTTTTGGATTCATAATATTTCTAACAATTATTATAAATGGGAAGTAAAAAGGAGAACTATACAATTGATATTATTAAAAACATTTCTCACTTTATCCCCCCCCCAATTATTTGTAATTATTATGTTCAACCTGAAGATAAATGGAAAAAAACATTTTGATTTTAATCTAAACGTTTTTTTCTTAATAACTCAATGTCGAGGCTGCGTGTATGATAGAATCAAAGAAAAATAAAAATAGATTTACCCGTAACACAAAATCCCTTCCTTCTTGGAGTAATTTTGATCGTATTTCCTTTTCCATTTGAGGATAAAGAATTTTTGTTAAAGCCCTTTCCAAAGCTTGACTGCGTTGAGTATTCCACTGTTGCACGAGTTTACTGAACTCGTCCTTTCAAAGCGGGAAAAGGAAAGGAAGGCATTTAAATTCATTGTGGGTGGGTAAGTTTGGGTTTTGTTATTGCAATCATTCTCATAATTACTTTGATTTAAAGATCCATTAAATTAATATTAGTACAGATTTTTTTTTTTAATTTTCAAGACAAAATTAATTTGTAAAGATTTTGCAAAATACATATAAAAAGACACTAATGAATAAACAGAAATTTAGTTACTAAAGAAAAAAAAAGTTGTTTGCCTATTTTCATTACAAGAGATTAAAGAAAATAAGGCAAATGAAAAAACTATAATAAAAGACTTCAGAAAAAGTGAAGAAATATTTTAATGTTTAACAAATTGGAGGTAGAGCTATAATTAAAAAAAAAAAAAAAATGCAGATGGAAAAGTGTAAGCAAATTAATTTTTAAGAAATCAGAGATTTACTCACTCTGTAATAAAGTTGTTGGATCTCTTTGAAATAGGTTTGGGTGTTACCAGTAAAATTATCCATACTGAATTCAATTTTCAGTAAGCCATCTTCTTCAGCCTGAAATGGTCAACAAATGTTAAAAGAAAACAAATTAAAACTTTTTTTTGGGTTTTTCAATTATGCAGACTCAAATAAGCCAAGAGAATAAAAAAAAGTAAACAAACTAAATGTTAGTTCACCTGAGAGAGCTTTACAAAAGCATCTTCTTTCAAGTCAATAACAGGCTTGTTTCGAAGATATTTCCACCCATAGCAGGTATGACATTCATCGATTTCCTAAAAAGGAAAATAAATTTTGCTGAAAACACTTTCATAAAAAATAAACCTCAAAGAATGAATACATCAAAAGATTTAAATTTTATTGAAAAATATAAAATAAAATTCAGATCAAAATTTAAGTGATGCTCAATTGACGAGAATGATAAAAAGCAAAAACAATCAAGTGGTTAGGCAAACTCATGTTCATTTATTTTGGAAGGTTATAACGGCAAAAAACAGAGGATTTAGAACTATTACATTTTGCACAATATATAAATGTGTACTTTTGCTACAGTGCAAATGATACAAAAGGGCATAGGCCAAAATGGTCTCAAAATGATTCCCAGAATGAAATATGGGCAAACTTGGATATTTGTGCCTGCAAAAAACACTCTCAAAAGAACAGTTTTTCCCTTGATGCTGCTAATATTTTAATTACTTTCACTCCCTAAAAAAAATGAAAGTGAATTTATACATTTCCTTGTTACTACAAAAATTATAAATACTATTAGATTGTTTATTGGAATGGTTGGCAAAACATCGACTAATTGCCAATTGATTTGAACTTTATAGAATTGTAAATAAGAATTTCATTATAGTTGGTAGACATATTTTAATAATTTAGTAAATGTTTATAAATCTATAAATAAAAAATTGTTTTCTTTTATAAATTTGTAAATGATAAATAATACATTAGTTTTAATACAAATGTATTAGTGTTTTAGAATGTTATAAAATATAAACTTATTTTTGTAAATGAACAATCTAATAGTGTTTAATATACTGGTAAATTTTCAAGAACAAAACAATGTATAACTTCACTTTCATCACGTTTAGACTTTATTAATATTCTAAACATCGCTTTTTAAAATAATAATAACATACTGCCGAGGAGTGAAAGTAGTTAAAATAATAGCAGTGTCAAATGAAAGACCACCCTTTTGAAACTCCAGTTTTTTGTGATCAAAGGTCCAAGTTCACCAAAATATTTACATTATATAGATGTTTCTAAATGAGGAAAAAATAAAAATAAAATATTTTTTATTATTCTAGAATGTGATGAATTTATGTGTTCAATCTAGCCTCAACTTTTGCCAACTACAGAAATTAGCAGATATTTATTTATTTTTTTACGATAATGTTCACCCAGTACAAGGCCCGAGAGCCTTTCGAGGTAGAGAGTAAGGCACAGTTTATGGGGGATATGTGGAGAAGATAAAAGTTGATCCCAAAGTTGAACAGGTTTAGATTGTAGTGATTGTGGAAACATCCTCATGGGAATAGATTCCACAAAGCAGTGGTTCAATATGGTCAAAAAGAAAAGAAGTCACTTAAATGGTTACCTTTACTCCCTTTTTAGTTGGCCGTGTCTTGATTTTGGCTCTTTCAAAATAGGCTGCACGAATACATTGACGTACAAGAGGATCATGAGCAATTTGCATAGCCACAATATGTCGGGCTCCCATCAACACATCTTCTTCGGTAGAGAATTGACTAGAGAAATAGAATGATTAATAAGGAAATCATTAAAATAAAAATTCTGCAATTGATGAGAAGTAGGAAAAAAAAACAAAAAACAATTAGACACTTTCATATTTAAGTGCATTTAAGACCCATGTTGATTTCAATCTGGCCAAGAATGACTGCAAAACACTTGCCCCTCCACTTTTATAGGCAAATGCACACAAATGCATATTGGGATTTTTTTTCTTAGCCAATAAAATAGGCCGGTTTGCAGTTTGACATAACTCAGTCCCAATCTGCCTTGTCTAGAAGACACAATGCTACATTAGCTTGTCCGAACTTGCTTTTGTGTATCAATACCAATTCTTAGTTTGTGAACTTTTTGCCTTCTTATTGTTAATTTGTCTTTCATATATTGTTTGTTTGCTTGCATGATATCATTTCATTTTTGCCCTGTTCCTTTTTATTGTAAACTTATTGTTAAATCTGTTTGTTGGACATTTCTGATATTTATTCTATATTTGACCATGGCTACTTGCTCTACAACCCATGTCTTCTTTTGTTGACTTTCGGAAATTGTGATAAATGCAGCAAAAAAAAAAAAAAAAAAAAAAAAAAAACTTCTGAGCTGGGCCAAATAGGAAAATTATGGATGACGATCCAGTAACATTTTGATATATTACCCAACAATTCTTTTTTTAATATTCCCTGCTGAAATGGTGGGAGTGGTGAGATGTTTACAGCAGATGTAATAGCAAACCTGGAAAGAAAGTTTCAACTTAAATTTATAAGTTATCCATGAATGAAAAGGACATTAAGATCTTGGTTACTTGTCCCTAACTCTCCAAATTTACTATTACAAATACTACAACCATGAGGAGTATTAGCAATAAGAGAAAACATTAGTAATCTTCTTCGCCCCAATATATTCATTAATGGTTGGTCAAAAAAGTTGGGTGCTGTGATAAGTGATTTGCAATAAAGTGAAAATGTCAACTCACCCACAAATCAATTCTTTGGCTAACTCAGAAGGTTCTCCAGGATACTGGTCAACTTCATGACGTTGATAATTGTCACGCAAATTCTCACCAAACTGTTCAGGGGTCAAACCAAATTTCTGTGCTATGTCATCTGGTAAAAAAAGAAAAAAGGTTCACTTCTGATATTTTCACCATTTATGCTGAAAAAAATAATTTTAAAATAATCTGTTAAAAAAATTTTTTAAAAGCAAATTGTAAATAGTGAATGATACACACCCAATTTAGCTTGTAAGCAAATGTCATAACCAGTTTTTCGGGTTGCTTGCTTGATGTTGTCCACTGGTTCCTCTGGGGTCTGTTCTTCAACATTATTCTCCTCTTCATTCTTTTTCCTTTTCTCCATATTCCTCATCTTGGGAATATCAGCACCATAATGTAGGAGAAAATGCTGGTAACAGTCTCTCAATTCTTCCAGGGTTTGAACCCGTTTCACTCTAAAAATTGATCAAATGGACACTTAAGGAAACAAAAATAAAGTTTTTCTTTTTTTTTACTAATGTTCACTTAATACAAGCCTCAAGAGCCACTCAAGGCAGAGGATTACTGTGTGGAGTTCTATTAGCATAGGAAAGGACAGGGAGTATACAGCTGAAGTAGACTTTAGAAGGAACTGGAAACTTAATCATAAAGGGATAAACCTCTACTATTGTAGAAACTAGAAACCTAATTGTAAAGGGATAAACCTCTACTCCTGTACAAACTGGAAACTCAATTCTAAATAAACTTCTGCTCTTGTTCAAAAACTGGAGAGGAGTGTAAATTGAATGATAAGCAAACCTATCTACTTCTGTATCTGCCTATATTTCTGAGATTAGGTATTATGTACATTATTCGGACTATTGTTCTCATTTTTGTCGCCATATTTAATACGTTTTGGCCTTCATCAGGTGGTTAGAATGTTGAACTGAACCCTTTATTTCGCTCACTGGGGTAGACTATTCTAGTTCCACGTGCCATGTTTAATGGATGTCAGTTATCAGTTATCTCCTGTTAATTACCCTCTGAAAGTTCTCCACTGCCTTAACTGGGCCGAAACATAATAAATATGGTGACAAAGATGAGGACAATAGTCCAAATAATGTAAATAATCTATCTACTTCTATTAAACTGTAACCTCATCTAAAGTTAAATATATTATTAGACATAATGAAAATATTTTTTTTAATGTAATTTCAACTTTAAGTGATTGGAGTGTGTCACAGAAGAAGAAATAGTTTTGCTTTGAATTTCTTCATTATTTGGTATCTGCTTTTAGACAGAATTATCTGTCTTTAATTTTGTTTGGACCATTTATCTAGGGTATATAAATAATATAGGGTTTCCAAAAGGAGCCACTTTCTACCAAGGTGCCTATTTCTTAGATGTTTTTTTTTTAATATATAATATGAACATTATCTAGATTCATAATGTGTAGGATAATAACTAAAAGACATAAGTTTACAATAAGTAATAAAGAGACTAAAAGCAAACCATAAAATTACAAGTGTATTCTTATTTCTAAGTAAAACATTGTTGTCATGGTGACCACTGTCCTCAGCATAAATAACAAAACAAAAACAAATAAAAAAAATAGCAGGTATGTCTGACTGGTAGAAGTCAAGTGACTCAATAGTGGATTAAACATGGGCTTTTGCTGCCAAATATGAACTTTGGTGTGCAGATGACCTCCACAAAAAAAAAAAAAACTCCTACTTTTTGGAGATTATAGTTCTCAGAATTTTGGATAAAGGATTGTTGTCCAGTATATATTTTAGGGTAGTGCTAAGGTTCAAAATTTTCTACTCATTTTCATCTTAACAAAGAAGTTATGCAAATAGGTAGACAATATTCTGTACTGTCATAACTAGACACCCTTTAAAGATTAAATGATGAAATCTATTAATTTCAGTTAGCATCCAATTTACTTCATAGAGAATTAAAACATGAAATTTGGGACATATAACAGTTGCTGAATTTTTTTTTAATGACACAACAGGATGGTATATGAGAAAAGAAAAAAATACCTTTGAACATCATCAACAGACAATGGCCTGGATTCCAAGACTTTATCAGGATCAGAATTTTCTTCAAATTGGTAATTTTGCATTTTCTCAAACAAACGAACAAGATTTTGTTTCCGGGTTCGTAATTGAGTCCACTAAATAACACAAAATTCAAAAATAGTCTTAGAATATAACGTATTAACCTTTTAAGATTTACAGAGAAATTATTGATTTATTCAAACTAGCATTATCACTTTTGCACAATTCTGTAGCTGCATTCAACACTTGTATCACAAGTTAGAACATTTAGAATTTTCAGTTTACTTCAGTTTTTTTTTTTTTTGGAAAGAGACCCACACCTGAAGAATGGATTGGCCGAAATGTTGTGGAAACATAAACAACAAAAACAATGAATTGTCCAAATAACTCATTGAACAATAATGATTTTTCTCAAAATTGGACAATAGTATTCTGACTGTTGCCAGTTCAATCATACATTTAATTTGTGGGGCACTTTCCACAGCAATAGTTACATCTAGTCATTACTTCCCACTCCTCAAATTAGCTATTCAAGAAAGAAAGCGGAAAAACTGTCACAGGATCAAGTGGAAAAGAAAACTGAAGATTATTAAAAGATGACATTCATCAAAAGGAAATCCAGCAAGGAACGATTCATTGAAATACTGTAGTCAAATTGTCAATTTGCATAATTGAAAAATGAAATAGTTAAAACAAACAAAAAACAACTAGTGGAATATTCAATTCAGCAAATAATTTTTTTTTTTTTTTTACCTTTTCATCAAACTGCCAAACTCTCCATAAATCATTTATGTTCAGTTCTGGTTCTACATACTCTTTTCGGTAGAAAGCAATAAATGGTACCTAAAAGTAATGAGAGTGAGAGAAATAATTACTTTCTAATATTGACAGAGCTGTTAACTGTTCTTTTAGAATTTTTCTCATGAGAAGGTAACGTAAACAGAAGAATTATTTATAATAGTACTTACAAGAGCTACTAAACTAGAAACTAAAAAGTACATTTTTTTATATTTACAGGGCTGATGAGAGAGAAATAATAAAACTAGGCAAACTAAAGAAGAAGGACACTAAATCCTTAACTGAAATATTTTACATACATCAATAAAAGTGAAGTTCGTTTTTTGTTTCTAAGGGTCTTCTGTCTTTTTGTTGGTAATTGCTTAATTTGAAAAGTTAAATTCTTTGCATCATAAACAAAAGTGGAGTTTTATATATATATTTTGAAAAAAAAAAAAAAAAAAAAAAAAAACCTACTTCAAGGAGTTGGTTTCTCATGAAATTCAAAGCATCTCTAATTTTGCTAATGGTTGATGCCCCTTTCTGTTGGTGATAAGTATACTGTGAATCAGCTGCATCACTTTGTTTGGAGATGGGTTTGTTGATAAAAGCTTGTTTGTAGATCCATTCAGCTTCCTCATCCAATTCCCCTTCTTCTGTAGCAGTGACACGGATTTGACGCAGCTGTGGTGGCAAAAAGGTAATACTGTTAACAGATAAAAGGGGTTGTATGGAACAACTTATGAAACTTGTATTATTTTACATTCATTGTTTTCATGAAGAATTCTGATTTCCTAAACCAACTGATAAGTTATAGCAATGACTGGATATTATAGACTTGCCATCAGATCTGTTATATTTTTTTTAGCCAATTTTAAGTGCTTTCTGAATATGATGTAATCTGGTTGATATGAGAACTTGTTAGTGGTACTCTGATTAATCACTTTGGTACATTGAATTGTTGAACTTGTCTTTTGTTCTCAATACTGGCAATGTCAGAATGTCAATGACTGACTCACAAATTTCATAGAATACAGAATTCTTATAGAACCTCATACAATGGTTTGACATTTTACTAGATGAGAATGTCTAATGACAATTTCAAACAGGAAATAATTAAGATTAAACTGAAAGACAAAGAAAAAAAAAAACACATTAAAAACCCCATTAAAAATAAAAAATAAAAAAAAAACAGAGAAACTAATTAAGCATAAAGGAGAAAAATCAAAGAAAGAACAAATTAAAAATAATAATTAGAAATCATAAAATGAGTTTGCAGAAGACACTCAGAAGATCTGAACATGAAGTAGAAAAAATGGAATTCATTAAGATTTAGTAAAACTAGATCTTCTCCAACCTACCCAGTTGCCTATGAAGCAGTATTGACATGATTTATGGTCTTCTGAAATTTCACAAATTCTAAACAAAATTATTTACATTATTTACATTGTTCAGACTGTTGTCCTCATCTTTATTGTCATATTCATAACGTTTCGGCTGCTGTATGCTCCAGTCTTCTTCTGGTGATACATGTTGGAATTTTAAACTGAAGCCTTTATTTCATCCACTAGGGTAGGTTGTGAATTCAATACCTGGCCACAGCAGAGGTGAACAAAAACTTGGAGTTCAGTTACTAAAAGGAAATAATTGAAATTGAGATATCAAGAAAAAGCATGTCATGTGGAACTAGAACAATCTACTAAAGTGGCCGAAATAAAAGGTTCAGTTTGAAATCCCAACACATGCCACCTGAAGAAAGACAGAGTGTACAATGGCCGAAACATCATGAATATGACAATAAAGATGAGGACAACAGTTACAATACCTCATCTCAGAAATATAGACAGAATTCTCGTTATGTTTATTTAAAATACTATCAAAACCCACAAACATTTATAGCTTGCCAACTTCAATGTTAGGAGCTTTGGGAATGAATGCATTCCACAAGAGGTCATCAGTTTTTTGTTTTTTGACAAAGAAAGGTCATTAATATTTTATTGAAAAAAACCATACAAGAACCCAATGCTAGAAGTTCCTAATATAAACAAGCCAAACCTTACAGACAGATAGAAAGAAGGATGTTAGAGAGGCCAAATGACAAGATAGGCAAAGTCTGATTTTAATCCCCCCGCCTTCTCCATCTGCTTATCTGGATTCAGCCACTAACAAATTCAGACAACAGTTACAAATTACTGCTAGAAGAATTTTTCTGCTGAAAAACAACCATGCTACATAGAAGGATTAATAATTATTTACTCCTTATATACTTTTAAATTCTTCAATTTGTTTTCATTAAACTGATTGGTAGACACCAACAGAGTTTGATGGTTTGTGCCATGAAATTAGTTTTCAGCAAATAAATTACTGTCTGCAAAGATTTCACACCTGAAATACTTGCAGAATCACAATCCTTGTAGAATCTGGTTATCACCTAGCTTGCTGATTTTAATATGCAATGGATGTGAAAACTCAAAACACTGCCAAGTGATGACACCAAGAATATGTTTTTTTACTAACACTGAGAAAGCGAAATAAAACAAAAACAAGAGTTCAGCCAGCAGGGTACCATATTATTGGATGCATTTGTTGCTCTAGTTTTGTCTTTATACCTATTAGGATGCAGGATACTAAAAGTTATTAGTATTAAAAGGAGAAATAATGTCAGCATTGGAAGTAACTAAGCTATCTAAATATTTTAACTTAATATATTTTTAGATTTTTAATATTTGAGAATGCCTGAAGAACAGAATGCCTAAGGTCAGGTTTAATCATAAAGCATTGTTCAATTTAAAAAAGATTTACTGAAAACTTTTCAAACTATAGACTAATTTATTTGTTTTTTAACTGCTGCATTATTAATTCTAAAATAATAAATGAAATTTGTTGTGTTTTGGATATTATAGACATGATATAACCCTTATTCTGCTTGTCTATAATGCTTGCATATGTCATGACTGTTTTCCTCATCTTGCCTTGTTCACAATGTTTCAGCCGTTGTATGCTCTGGCCTTCTTCAGGTGATATTTGTTGGAATTTCAGACTGAACCATTTATTTAGGCCACAGCAGTAGATTTTTCTAGTTTCAGTTAATTCCATTGGTAACCCAACTCTCCAAGATTTTGTTCTCTCTGCTTTTTGATCACTCAACCAATATCCACTGGGGACATCAGCGAGTGAATTTTTCAGACTTAAAAACCTAATATCTCAGTAACCATTTGTTATCAGATCTCATATTACAATTTTTTTGGTTTTTTTTTTCTAGCTCTCTGTATTACTGGTTCCCATATTGTATTTATGTCTATGATTGGTCAGCTTGAGAGATTTTTGTTGCCTAGCATATGTACAAATTCCTTGAGTTTACAAATTTTCCAATGATGTTCTCTATTATTTCAACTTCATCCCAAAGAGGGCAGTGCTCTCCCTTTTCTCTCTCCATATATTAAATTTAGTCATTAATTTTTTTTTTTTCTTACCACTAAAAATATTTCACATGTCAATACAAAAAATTACTAAAGCTAAGCATGGAGTAATGGTACAGTAAGTGGACAGCAAGGTGAAAAACTGCACCCTAACCCTACAGTGTTCAAATGTAACTGACATTAAAATATGACCATGACAATTTCATTTCCTCTCTTACCACCAAAGATTACTGCTATAGTATCAGAGTGAATCAAAAATTTTTTTTTTTATTATCTTTCATCACAAAATCCTACCTCTAATAGATCAACTAGTTTAGTAAAAAGTGCAAGAGTGAAACCAAAGTTCTGCATAAATTTACTTACCTGGAATCTTTCTGGTATATCAACAGTTCTGATTTCGTTATCAAGATCAGTGAAATGTCCTCTTTCCAATTCACTAGGTTCATAAACCTATAAAACAAGATAATAGAAAGAGAAGGCTGACAAAATATTAGAGTGCAAAGGTTAATTTATATATTAGGGTGTAAAGGTTATAATTGAACAAGACTGACAGTAGTAATTTAGAGAAGACACAACAAGCAGCAGGAGTGACAAAAGAATGACATACAAACCTCATAAATACTTTTCTTTGTGGTTCTTTTGCGCCCAGCTTTCTTTGTCTTTGTAACAGTTTCACCGTCTTCTCCAGCTTCCTCATCATACTTGGGAGAAAAATAAAAACAATTATTAAATCATAGCTTTAATAGAAAATCTGATACATAATAAATCATAAAGACAAGAAAGAAAAATAATTTAAAGAAACAACCCAATACCTCATCATAGTCTTCTTCATCTTCTTCTTCATCATATTGGTCAAAGTCAGCAAAGTCAAAATCAACACCAAATATATCTTGAGCAATTTGCAGTGATCTGTAGAAAGAAAGAAAGAAAAAAAATAAACTTATTTAACTATCAAGAGAGATTTTGGAAGCTGAAGGATACAAGTTAATTAACCTTTCACACTCTGCATTATTAATATTACTTCCATTTCCATTGAATTCTTTTTAAAGGCCTCTCAATTGCAGTAACCTTATTAATTTTACTCAAAGTTGTTTTTCTGTTGCTACAGCAGGATATGACAACACGACTATGTATTGTTCAGGAGTCAGAATCACCTTCAGTGGCAGGAATAAACTTTTTGTACAGCAAAGGAAGTCACATACAGAATGATAAAGGTTAAACAAAATTTTCTTCATTCTTACACATTTTTAAAGATTTTTATTAGGCTTGACAAGTTTCAATTTCCAAAGTTCAAAAAAAGTGCATTACTCCTAAGTAATCAACAATATTTGTTTTTACAAAATAAAATTGGAAAGAAAGAAATGAAATTAGGAAGACTTATTTAATCCTGAAAGCTTTGATAGCTGAATCAGTTAAGGCATTCTCTATGATGGAAAAAATCTTCAAGTATTGAATGCAAGCAAGAACTTTTTATTCCAAATTCTTGTAGATTAATTTAATGGCCAAATAGATGGATTAGTAAGAAAAATAAATAAAAAATAAAGAATCACAATTATTGGCAGTTTTTCTTTTTCCTTTTCCTTGATTTCTGAGTGAATTTAATCAAGTGAATGATTCTAACAAAAACAAAATACCTATTTTATCAATATAGATTAAAAAAGAAAAAAATCTTTTTACTTCACATTTTCTCCTGTGTTTTTTGTCAGAATAAATTCAATAAATCTGAAGCTTCATTTTTATAGAAGTAAATATAAAACAATTCCTGGCACATTTAAGTTCTTACAAAAATAACTTGAAGAAATGACATTTCAATTTCATTATACAGTGTGTGGCAGAAATGCCTCTCACATAACAGTAAGGCATGAACTAGATGAAGACATCTTTGCCACTTAATGTCTTACCATTAAGTGTGAGGTATTTCTGCCACTCTTTATTACTAAATATTACTTGACATTTTATTAATTTCAACGATTTCTCTTTACCTTATTGTTACTTTTTATCACACTGTTCTAGGTCAAGGAGTTCTGAATAATAAAACCAAGTAGTTCGCACACACACATATATATATATCCCCCTTTCCTAAATCCCCAACTCTTCTCTCACTTTCACTCTCTGTAACCCCACTGTGTATGAGTTGCATTCCCACATTGTCTCGGGGTGAAATGATTAAAAAAATATAACATAACTAGAAATAATTCTATAAATACTAATGTTACCAAACGAGAGAAGAATCAAATGGCAGAAGGAAAATACAGTGTGCAGCAGAAATCCTTCCCACATAATGGTAAGACATTAACTAAATAAAGATGCCATTGTCACTAATGCCTTACCATTATGTGGGAGGTATTCCTGTTGCATCCTATACTTTAAAAGTCCATAAGAAAAGATTTTGTTAAAAAATCAACAGAAAACTGCAAACTTACTTGTCAGTGTGGATAACTGGCTTCTTCTTTTTGCCTCGACTGATTGGTTGGCCTTCCTCATCCACAATAAAATCATCAATATCTAAGGGAATGAGAAAAATGATATTAGAACAATTTTAAATAAAAGTAAAAAAATGTATTTGTACAAAGTAACTACAAATAAAAATGTATGAAATCTGTTAAGTCAAAAGATATTTTTATTTTACATGTGCCCAGCTGAAAAAAAAAAAAAAAAAAAAAAAAGAAATTGCTCCAACAATCAATAAAATTTAAAAGATAAACTAGCAAAACCAACAAATACATATAATCATAAACTTTGTCTGCTTTTGTAGAATTATTTCATTCTTAATTTATCTGTAATCTTTTGGCCTAATTATTCAAGAATTTTATGCCAAAAACTTTTTTGAATTAAAGATTTTACTTTCATCATTTCTTCCTTGGAAAAAAGCAAATCTAAGGTAATCAAGATTGAATAGAACATTTTGGTGCACAGTGTTGTAATCTGATTGTCAATCAGTGTCTCCAGGTTGGTCAGTCAACAGCAAATTCAACATTTTTTTTTTCAATTTCTTTCAATATCAGAAACCATGAAAGAAATTTAAAAAAAAATTTTAAAAAAAAGTTAAAATTTCAATTGGTACAGTTGGCTGTAATGCTTTGGTCTTTTTGATTTTATTTTGTTGGAGTTAATTGAGGAAAAATTTAAACTCTTCTTTTATAGAGGCAGGAGCTTTTAACATCAGTCATTTTGCTAGTGATCCCCAAAACTAAATCTTTCTAGGGTCTCTTTTTGAAAAGGCATTCTCTACATATTTAATGCCAAAAGGGAATATACTGAGCAAAGAATTATACTGGCTTATGTCTTGTTAATTTTTTTTTTCATCTAAGATTCTTTCTATATTTCATTAATTGTGAGCCGTTTTAAATTGTAAAAACTCTTACCAGATTCTTCCTCTTCTGAACCTTCCAAATCTAAAGCCAAATCATCTTTCTTTGGTTCTTCTTCTCGCTCACTGACAGGTACAGCACTTTCCTCACCAGCTTCATCATCATCGTCATCAAATAATGTATTGGCAATCTCCTGTCTCTGTTCATCGGTTGTGCCTTCAGCCATTTCTTGATCACTATCTTCATCTTCTGACACAACACGAATTCTTTTACGCTTTTTAGGCTTTATTAAAAAAAAAAAAAAAATAAATTAAAAAAAAATAAATATACATCTCCAAACAAAAACTAAATATCTATTATGTTAAGTGTCAAATAAAATGATATACTTAATATTTTTCAAATCGAAGTGTGACACACACAAAATTAGTTTCTTTATATAATACATGATTTCATGTTTGAAAAATGGCAGTAATAGATATTTTTGTTGATAGTGCCTCGAAAGATATGGGAGAGTGATTTATACATGTTTCCCTCACTCTTCTCTACCAACCATTGTGGCATGTTAGTAATGAAATGAATTGCCTCAACTGATATTTAAACTTTGTTGGACAAGCTCATTTTCCATATTAATCTTCTTTAAGTTAATGATTGAGTAAGCTCATGGCGAGTTCTACGGCAATAAAATATCCATAGAAATTCCCCTATCACATTGCTAAATATTTGAGCTCAACAACTTTTAACAAAATATTGTAATAACAAATCATAAATATAAAGGCTCGTCATTATTTTAAGAAATGGATACAAATGAAAAATTTGAAATAGACAACATTTTTTCCATTTCACTGAAATCATTTTTATCTTTCATTTTCTCACTGAAACCAAGTAGTGTTTTTTTCCCTTCTTTCCACACAATCAAAACGGAATAGTTCATTATTTATGAGGTATTTCTGAAGAATCGTCCATTATTTATGAGGTAACTGTCATGCAAACTAACAAAGAGAGGGACATGAACAATTATAATAGGATAAATGTTAATTTCAGTATTCATCAAACTTCACCTTCCTACATCTTAAGGTTTTTTGTTTTTTGTTTTTTTTTAATCTAATTTGTACAAGGATGTAATTTTTCAAATGAACATTCTTTTTGAAAAAAATCATGAAACACACTGAATAGCATAGTAATACAAGTTGAGATTGCATGAGGGACTATTTTTTATTATTATTTCACACATTACAACACAACATAGAAATAGTTTTATTATACATTCATCTATTCAGCAGAGTATCATTGTCTTGGTTGTTATAGTAATGTTTTGTTTGTTGTATTCAATAACCCTTTATTCAATCGACAAGGGTAAATTGTTTTCATTCCACTCATCATAAATGGAGATTTCTCATAGCATTTAATTCTTCTTATAGTTATGACTACAACAAACAAGATGAGGATACTAGTTTGAAGAGATCATTTCATATTAATGATTATTTCTCATCTTAGAAATTCAGGTGGAAATGAAAGGAGCATTTTAACATCAGAATGGCCATCACCCAACTCAAGTTTTGGCAATTAAATATCCTACCCATTAAGGTAGCATAAGGGGACACTGTTTCATTTTATTGATAATGATGCGGTTTACTGATATTAATATATAAATTGTTAAATCCAATATTGCTAAATTTGCTTTGATATTTCTAAGCATATTTGTTTGAATGTTCTGTCCAGTTTGATCTTTTTATCACACTTTGCTTTATGATGTAAAAGACCCTTTTGTAACTAATCTAGTGTAACTAAAAAGAAAGCAAAGAAAATAAGTTACCTTTCGGGATACTTTAATCCCAAGATTCTCTTCAATCAAATCATAATCATCATCTTCTAATTGATCGTCATCTTCTTCGTCAGATTCGTGTTTGCGTTTACCATCATCATTTTCATCCTCACTTTCTTCTTCTTCCACATCGTCATTGATCAAGTCTTTCATTTCTTCTGCAAGCTGCTCCTCATCTTGAAAAAAATTCAAGAATTTAACAAATAAGAGATCACTTATATAATTTTGATAATCAGTTTTTGTTACAAGTTAGTCAAAAAACAGAATTTATATATTTATATACAAGCCAAAGCATCAAACATGTATTTCACAAAATATTTAGATCTTTGTATTTTTTAACTTTCACTCATAGGCTTATTTTAGAAAAAAAAAAAAAAAAATTAGCACAACACACATTATTTTTTTAATTTATTGACCAATAATTCAAAATGTTTGTCAGTTAATAATGATTTAATTTAAGAACATTAGATGACATTCAGAATGAGATGCAATGTGCCAATCAACACCCATCAGATGTTATTGTTTTTTTTTTTCTTTTAATTAAATTTTCCCCAACACAAATCTTTGTTATATATGCTCTATACATCTTTGTGCATAGGGCCAGGCAAATACTATTTATTGATTAGACCTACATGCAAATCAATGTTGAAAGAAAAGGAAAAATAACAATGAGAAGAATTTGTTTAAAATTCTCAATTTAAAAACAGAAAATGCCAATCTTTTGAAAAACTTACCATCTTCCTCATCTTCTTCCTCATCATCATCTATTCGTTTCTTGCGTGATTTCTTTTCTTTCTTTTTGGGGACTTTTTTAACAATTTCATTTTCTGATTCAGATGCAGAACCCTGTGATTCCTCAGCTTCTTGATCAAAGAAATCCATGATTTAAATCTGAAACAATAAAAAAAAAAAAAAAAAAATTATATCACAAAATCTGTTATGAATCACAAGACTATCAAGCTAGAAATAAAAACAAAATCTTAAGATACATTTGTCTTAAAATATGATAAATTGGAAAAAGATTTTGTGAGCAATTTATCATATCTTTTTCTTTCAAAAACTGCTCTTGAGATTATATATAATTAAAAACTTGGCAGAATTCGTGGTAACTGGTACTGACTATGTCAGGAAGAGAAATTGGCTATTGCCACGTTTCCTGATAAAGGTGTTTTATTAAATGAGAGAAAGGAGATTATGTCTGGGTGCAGGCATTTAAGAAAATATTTTTAGATACCTATGTACATGGAGGAAAGACATACAACTCAATAACCCCCCCCATCATTTCTGGTATATTGTTTCTGGCATGTGCATCCTTCCACTTACCTGAAGTAGGCTGGCATTTTAGCCATTATATATATATATATATATATATATATATATATATATATAGTAAAATTAATAAATCCATTGGTATATAATCCAAGTGGATCCTAGTAATATTAAAATTGATCCACAAAAAGAGTTCAATGTATTTATTATACAGAACAAATAAATAGCATTAAACACAAACTGTCTGTATACTGGGATTGAATAAGACTGACAAAGTTTTCATCGGTTGAAATTGGTCTATAACCCAATATAAGGTAATTTGGGATTTTATTGTTTACTACTACTACTACACACATTATATATAATGCCATATCACTTCAGGATATAGGTGATCATGAATCTCCATAGATTTTTCTCTATTTTTTGTTAACTGTGTTATATTCTTGGGAGAGATAGTGAAGTGGTTTCCCATTGCCCTCTCCATGGTTTGGAATTCAAAGCTTGTTCTCGTAGACTGTTTGTTACTGAAGGCAAGAGATTCCAGTCTAATCTATTTAATCCATAGCTGGTGTGAGAAGAGATGGATTCATGCCTTTCCAAGAGCATTTGTACAAAAGTAAATGCACCAGACTAGCCTAATATTTTAAATTTACACATCAATATCCATTACATTAGCTGCATCTCCTTAATTTTAAAATACCATTTTTTATTTTTAGGATGACTTTTACAACACCTTAATGGAGCTAGTAAATTTGGAACAGCAGATATTTAACTGTAGAAGATTAAGCAATTAAATCATGCCTGTATCTTCCATTCTGTCCCTTTACCCTTCCAACCTATGTTGCTCATCAATGCTTACATCTAAATCTTCTACAAATATGGATTTTTACATGAAAACTGTTTTTAAATATTCCTTTTTACTAATGGCACAAAGATTATGATAACTCCTATATAAATTGTTTCTTTTCGTTACCTATTTCTTTTTTCATCAAATGTGCGTAGAAGTACGTAGCATATATGATTAAATATCGAAATTAAACATTTATGTGAATAAATGTTAATTTCAGCTTTGTTCAATGCTAATATTAATTTTTTTTTTTTATTTTATTTTTTTTTTTTTTTTTTTTACAGCTGTTAACCCACCCACATTCATTTAATTTTATGAAATTTCAAGAAATTCTTTTTTGTATCACTTAATATTTAATATTAGTAATAAGGACACATTAAATCAAATTTCTTTGGTCAAACAGGACCCCAAATTACAGAAGATCTGCTCTGAATCATAAAATAAAAAAAGGCAATAAAAATAAGACATTATTTAATTAGAAAAGCTGTTATTTGCTTTTTATGAAGTAAATATATCATGGATACTATTGTCTTAAGAAAAAAAATTCTTTTGATGAATGATGAATTTTTACAAGAATTGTTTTCATTTTTTTTTTTTTTTTTTTTTTAATTAGAAAAATTTATAAACTTTTGAAATTTTATATTAATTTATAGTGATCACATGATACTATTAAGCTGTATTTACTACTCATAAATGGGAAAATTCACTTCAATTCAACAACTCCCAGTATTTTTAAAAAGAATTTTGTATTTTTTATGCATATATAAACATTGATTTTTGTAAAAAAGACAACATTATCAGAAAATAAGACGCACCTATAGTAAATTTAAAATTTATTGGTTATTTTCTAAGATTTTCTCAACAAATTTCCTTTATAAGTTAGACTTAAAGCCAAAGTAATTAGAATTCAATAAAATTTTAAAAATTTTAAAGATTATTGATTAGTTAAAAAAAAAAAAAAAAAAAAAAAATGGTGTTTACATTGTATTCATGCAATTTTTCTTCAGTTAAAAGTAATGTTTCAATTCAGATTAATTTAACTTTAAATAAGCTAATTTTTATCAAATAATAACGATTCTGAAAATTATATTTTATATTTGAAACATTTTTTAATAAAGAGAATTATGTTGTGTTGATAGATCTGTCAATCAATAATATGGACGAATTTACAGATTTTTTTACTAAGGAGAGAAAAAAGAGATTCCAAACTTTTTAAATTCGGTTTGAAATAGACCAAACCAAAATATTTTACTTATTGGGTATGTTAAATTAGGAATTAAAGCTAAAATTAAAGGTTTTCCTTTTTCATACACATTATTTTTAAAATTAGGTATCACTTCTTTGGGGGGTATAATCGAAATGAAATCAACCCAAAGTTTTCATAATTGCGGGTATGATTGATGTAGCTTACTAATCACTTTGTTTTTTAACTTTTAAGAAAAGGTAAAAAAAAAAAATAAAAAAAGTAACTATATTTTTTTTATTTTCTGAAGAAAATTCATTTTGTTTGATTTTTAAGTTAAGTGGAATCTTAATACGGCAACTGCTGTAAGAGCAAAGACCTAAAGATGTAAGTAAAACTGTTTCTAAAAATATGCGTAAAAAATTCTCGATTAGATATTTTTACAAAAAAGAATTTTCTCCCTATCTTTTACGTCTGACTTTCTTTTTAGTGTACAAGTTTCTTCGCAATGTAATTTTACATCCGCCAATCAAGTCAACAATTAAAAAAGGGAAACCACTGCAGTACATCACATTGCTATATAAAATATAAATGCTGATATTTTAAATAAAAATGATTAGTACTTTTTCTTACTATCAACTAAAATTTAGTTAACCATTTCTCATGAAAATGGCGTCGAAAGTAGTTGTTAGTTTTAAATTAAAATGTATCGTATTTAGTTACTAATGATTAAAATATGCATATATACCCAGGGGTATACCATAATTAGTTTAAAAAGAGTCATCAATTTATTTAACAATTGCAAATATACATATCAGTGATTCTTTCAAGTTTGTTCACAATACATGGACACTACTGACTGACTATTCACATCATTTTTTTTAATAGGGACATCTGCGTAAGCGAAAATAATTTATAATATTTTGTTTGTTTTATTTTTTGTGAATGGTAAGACACAAAACTTGAAAATACAATTGAACAGTTGAAAATAAATAAAACTTACGCACGGGCGTTGAGCAAGAATTTAAAGAGCTTTCTTCTAAATATACATATGCTTTCTTTGCAATTTTAAGATTGCAAGTTGAAATGCTATTGCTGTCATTCTATTAATAATAATAATAATGATAATAATAAATGATAAATCATTTACAAAACAAAAAAAAAACCCCTCAAAATCCATATTTAGTCAGGGAAATATGCAACGGGTCAGCAGTTACCAGTGTATATTATCCACGTGTTTTTTGTTTTTATCCGTAATTGTTGTCTTTAATGTTGGAAAATTAAAAATTACTATTTATTTAAATCTAACTGGAACATAACTTACATTGGAAAAATATAACCCAAGATTTCAAAATTTTATTTCTCTAACTTGAGTTTTAAAGTTTGTATGCTCATCACTCAGCCATTTTGAACATTGCCATCGACAAAAAAAATAACTCAATTCATATCCCAAACTGTTTAAAATTGTTCCACACATTAGGACTTTAATAAAATATTCATAAAATTTGAAAAAAATCAGCAACTAATGATTTCCTTAAAATACGTTTTTAAAGGAAATTAAAAACATGCAGTTTTAAAATATTTAAGTTCGAATTACAAGGGAAAAAAAAGTACGAGTCAAACGTTAAAAACCATTTATAAAAATAGAAAAAAATAATTCCGATTACTAACTGACTTACATTTTTATCCTGTACAAAATATGTAAACAGTTTCAAACTCTGCAGTTTGTAAATTTAACTCCAAACAACAACAAAACGTGATCAGAGTTAGTCTTGTTGATATAAATTGGAAAAAAATGGCGATTCTCCCATTTAGAAATTATGGGAATGTACTACACTATTCAAAACCTTAGTTTGGCATGATGTTTTTGTTTTTATAATCCCATAATTGTAACATTTTATATTATTAAATCATAAAATTAAAATAAAAATTATTATAAATCAAATTTTATGAAGTTTACTAATGGAGTGCAATGTTTTTGTTGGATATTTTTGTTAGTTTCGAACCTGCTAGCGTGCTTCAGTTAACGCAGAATTTTGATTGTTATTTGGTCATTTAATGACCTTTATTTTGACCATGTGTTACTTTTTGTTTTGTTGTGTGGTAAATATTCTCTTCCGTATCCTTTTGACACACTATTCAAAGACTGGTTTTTTGTACGACACAAGTCAGTCTTCTTGGTAAAAAAAAGGATTGGGTTGGGACTTTTTGTGTTTTTGCAAATCCAACTTCCCTAAAAATATGCAGAGAATCTATTTTCGATTTTGACAACTTTTAAAATATTATAATTTTATTTTTTAAAAGAAGTTTGTGATTTTCTTTTAGTAAATCACTTTTTTAAAACAGATCAATTTTTTAATCGAAATGATATGCAGGTGAAATTTATAAAATCTTTCTCTAAAAACAATTTTTGAAAAAAAAAAAAAGGTTTCTCAAGTCCACTGTTATTGCTCTTTCCAGTATTGAGGTGCTGTGTTTGTGTGTGGGGGGTCTTTCTAACCTTTTGTTTGAAGTAGTATGGAACCTCAACAGCTAGAAGATTATGTGATTATATTATTTTCTCTCCGAGTTATATATGCTATCCATTTTAGTTCAGTCAGTTATGTGCCATGCGTGATATACGTTTAGGCGATCATTCGATACATGACTGACGAGGCAGATTTTTTTCCCGCAGTAGGTTGCCATTTCTTTCTGCGGTAGACAAGTTGCCATCCAAGGTTATAGAACCTGGTCTGTCCTGCTATTTACCCATAGCTGCGGTGAGATGAAGAAGATTCATACCTTTCCCAAGGGTGTTAGCACGTAAGTGAATGTAATGGATTCGACTAGAATTTGAACTCGGTCTCCGATTCCTAAAACCATTACTCCATCGTTGAAGTCCTCAAGTGGCGTCGTTTCTGTTATTTATTTAGAGTTCTTTGTTTCCGATTGTGTAGCGCCAGTTCACGAGGTTGGAAGAAGGATGGTCCTCTCTAAGATCTCTATAATTATTATTCGCTCATAATTGTTAAAGAAAATACAATGCAAGATGGAATGAATACGTAGGAGAGCTATGGAGTGAAACCTACAAAATCATGATAATATCAGTAGTACCAGGGCCGGTGTGTACTACCTCCGACTGGGAGGGGGGAAGTATGTTTGAGAGACCTGAGCAGTGCTTTGTGACCCTTGCTATCTTATTAACATTTTCTTTTTTTTTCTACCTACATTATTGTACAAAATTAGGTTAGATTAAAATTTATATTTTATGAATACTAATGCAAATTGAGATATACAGTGTAACCCGGATATAAGAGAAACCCGGATATAAGAGAGATTTTCTCTGGTCCCAAATTAGAGCCTGTGTTAATGTATATAAAATAGACTAAACCCAGGTATAAGAGAAACCCGGATATAAGAGACTTCTTCTCCGGTCCCGACAACTCTCTTATATCCGGGTTACACTGTAGTAGTATGTGGATTCCGTATCATAGATTCGAGAGGGACATTAGACCCTTGCTTCACCCCAGAGTAAAACCATAGGGCAAATGAATTGTTTATTTTCAAGGTAACTTAGAAAATTTCCTTCTGTCTCCATCCTACACATCCCTGTAAAATATCCCATGTAAGCATGTATGTCGTACTGTGTCGATCTATTACGCACACGCATACATACATACATACATACATACAAAAATAGAAATTACATACAATGCCAAGCATTCATTGGTTAATTAATCACCACTACGTTATTATAGACAATTTACAAATCGCAGCAATGCGACAATTTTGTAATCGCTCTATTTTTATGTAATCAGTTTTGTGCACTTTTGGGAGAAACGGATCACAGAAGCTTTCTTAAGTCTCCCCAAAGCTCACTCGCTGATTGGTCGATGCCAACCAATCAGATAGTCTGCACGTGAAGAATAACTTTTCCCGCGCAGCGATCTGGAGCCCATAGTCACTTATTTAAGCAAGAATTCTTCTTAGCTAATTAGTGAGAATTCAGCTGCCAAACGAATCCACGAAAGTTGAAACCATACGTCAACCTTCTCACTCACACACACCACTCACATGCTGAACATCTCTTGTATACGCTGACATAACCTTTTCTTACACAGCAAAATCTTTTGAGAACAGTCATTATAAGAGACTCTCATAAACATTCTTTCAGTGAACTTTGAAATACAAATAAAAGTTAAAGAGAGACAACTCTTGTTTTATTAAACCTTTTCTTACTTAAAAGCATGCTTTCTTTCACATCGTTGTTTGATATTGTACATCTTGTTAAATACATATTTTATGTGTAACAATGTCTTTTGCTTATCCTTTTCTGCGTCAGCCCTGTTTCCTAATCTAAAGTTAAATTAATGTGGTGAAGTCCGCCACAGTACTAAAATGTGAAAGAAGATTGGCACTGGTCAAATTAAACAGGAACAAAGCAGAAAGAGTAACAGAGATCTTGTCAAGTTTATACGATTTCAGGATTAATAACATTACTGACATGACATAAATGATAGAAGCGAAATACCGCCTCTTGTTCCCATGTCCACTCTGATCCGTGGTGGTAACATTTGGTTGGGTCCCCGCTATGGGCAAATAGTGAACCCTCCAAACAAAAACGAAGCACTATGAAAGTATAAAAATACATTTTTATAGTAAAAAATAACAGTAATACATTTTTACATAAAAAATTACCAACAATACATATTTATAGCAAAATGACCAACAAATACATTTTATCTGTAGTTGAGGGCATACAATTGTATTCAAAATATACATGGTGTCCCCCAAAATTTAACATCATTTTAAAAGCAATTATCTTGAAAACTACTATGTCCAGCTCAATGAAATTGAACAGTTTGTGTTGAACATCATAAGTTTATTATGTGATCAATTACATAAGTGTTCAATATGTACATCGCCTGTGACACGGCACACGTCAAGTCGGTAGCTAAACTCTTGTAAAACATGCTGATGTTAATGATGGTCTACCAGATCCTTAAGACCTGCATAAGCAGCCTTCCTCTTTAGATTTTTGGTAACAAGTCCAAATTTGTTTGCCAGTTAGTGAAGTTGTTTTTTAAAATTTGCATTGCACTGAACAGTCTTGGGTGACTGAGTGTGAGCAGATTCCAAAACGCAAAATGACTTCTCTTTGGGAGTGAACGGCATGGCTTAACCTGAAAACAAAACAAAAATAAAACTTTAAATATACAATCTTGATCCGTTTCTATACATTCTGTGAAAATTTGAGGTTATTTCAACAAGAATTGCCAAAATTATTGGCCTGCGAAATTATGTCAAAATTTAGTTGAAGCCATAAAATATTTAGATTTCGGCATTAAATAGCCCATATAGATGTTGATATGCCTCTAAACAAAATCAACTAACCGCTAGATCCATCTTTGAGACAAAGACAAAAACACCAGACCATCGGTTTAATAAGTATCTACATAAGTAAACCTGTCATAATTAGGCCAGAAAGAGAGCAAAAACAGTGTGGCCTTATTCAAAAGACAGGAAAAGGGTAATACTATCTTTATGATCAGAATTCCATTTAAAGCGAACAGCACAAATGAATAAATCTATCAGTATCTGTTTATATTTCTGAGATGAGGTATTATGTACACTATTTACATTATTCGGACTATTGTCCTCATCTTTGTCGCCATATTTATTACAACGTTTCGCCCCTTCAGTATCTGTCTATATTTCTGAGATGAGGTATTATGTACACTATTTACATTATTCGGACTATTGTCCTCATCTTTGTCTCCATATTTATTACAACGTTTTGGCCCTACAGTATCTGTCTATATTTCTGAGATGAGGCATTATGTACACTATTTACATTATTCGGACTATTGTCGTCATCTTTGTCTCCATATTTATTACAACGTTCCGGCCGTTGTACGCTCCGGCCTTCTTCAGGTGGTTGGAATGTCGAACTGAACTTTTATTTCGCTCGCTGGGGTAGACTGTTCTAGTTCCACGTGCCATGTCTAATGGATATCAGTTATCTCCCGTTCATTCACCTCTTCAATTTCTCCACTGCCTTAACCAGGTATTGAAATTAAGGAGACATGGCACAGTGGATAAAGACGTTGGTTAGATCCAGTGACAGGACCCAAAGAGTTGTGAGCTCGAGAAGCTTATCCAAAAATAATGAAGACCTAAAAAAATGAGGCATTTTTGCTCTGGGAGGGTCCCTGTTCTGCTCCATCCCTTTTTGTATAGGGCCATAAAATTAATTTACCCCACGGACGTTGGCGGTGTTGTCCTGGGTGGCCGTATGACGACCGAGTTGGGTACAGGAAACCTGGGACAATCCGTCGGTGTCCTTACCGCTGCAGATTTCCGCCCTGTATGTGAATAGGTTAATTCTAGTTTTTATACTTTACAGGACTTAGAAGATGGAAATTAAGATAGCGACGTTGAATGCAAGGGGCTTGAGGGATCGGGGTAAGGCTTGCCCGCCTGCTCCGGGACCTCTTGTCTTTTGGTGTGGATGTTGCCGTGATCGAAGAGACCCACTTTGTTTGCACTTCCGATGCGTGTGTGCTGGAGGATGACTTTGTCGTCTATTCAGCATATGGGAACCGGTTTTCCAGAGGAGTTTCTTTGCTTGTCAGACGTACTCTTGATGCGAAGGTGGACCTTGTGCATACCGATGCCGAGGGCCGGTTGATCGTGGCCGATATTGCCGTGAAAAGTGGTTCGTTCCGAGTCGTTGCGGTTTATGCGCCCAATGACTGGGAGGAGCGGGTCTCGTTTTTTCGGCAGTCGTGGCCGTTCCTAGTGGATTCGACGCGCCTAGTTTTAATGGGGGACTGGAATGCCATCCTGGACCCCAAGTTAGACAGGGGGCGAGGTGCTAGTGGGAGAAGGGGCGATCGTAGCCTGGTTGATCTGATCGACGATTATGGTCCAGTCAATAGATACCGGGTCGATCATCACGGTGGGGGGGATGTGGACGTGGGCTCTTAATTGGCCTTGTGACAAGGTAGTTAGCTACGTTGACAGAATGTTAGTTAGAAGAGCCGACGTAGATCTTTTAGATTGTCCCACGTTCCACTGGGTAGGCTATTCGGACCACAAACTCGTTTGTACCCGGGTGGCGTTAGGAACTAGGCCTAGAATGGCTGGGTACTGGAAGTTCAATCTGTCCTTACTGGACAGGCGGGACTTCCAGGAACAGCTAACTAGATTAGTGCAGCGGGAACTAGTGGTAGGAGCGACTTAAGTGTAGGATTAGGTCTTTCACTACTGATTTCATCAAACGGCTCACTCTAGATAAAGCTGAAAAGGTGAAGACGGTTAAGGCTAGTTATTCCCGGGCGGTGGCTGGGGGGATCCCCTAGAGATAGCCTTAGCTAGGGAGGCCCTGGATCGTTCGAATAGCGAGCGTTACATGGGCCAGGTAATTAGACATAAGTTAAGCAAGATGTCTTCCGAAGCCATGAACTTGGGCGCAGATCTGCGCAGGGAAGAGGTCCGTCGAGGTGGCGATCGTTACATTCGTGAAGTCAAATCCCCGGAGGGGCACACTCTTCGGGCCACTGACGACATGTGCGAGGCGTTTCGGCGCCATTTCGAGAGCCGGTTTACCAAGGAGCCTGGTCTCCGTGAGGAGGAGTTTCGCAGCTATTTGGATGACTTTCCTCGGCTTTCGCCGACTGAAGCGGGTAGCTGTGAGGGAGAGATCATGGAGGGCGAAGACTACGCGGCATTGAAGAAGGTCGGCAGAGGCAAGTCGCCCGGTCTGGATGGTTTGTTCTATGAATTGTACTTGAGGCTGTCGCACATCTTTGTTCCAATTTTGACAGTGGTGTTCAACAACTGGTTTCGGTCGTGGTCCATACCCAATCGGATTGCCAGGGGGTTGATCACTCTGTTGAAAAAGGGCGAAGGTGGTAGGGGGAACCTAGATGATTACAGGCCCATAACTCTGCTAAACACAGAGTTAAAGATTTGGGCCAAGATCCTGCAGGAGCGTTTGCAGTCAGTTGCCGAGTCTCTGTTGGGTCCTGAGCAGACTTGTTCTGTGAGGGGCCGAACAATTCAGAGCAACCTGCATCTGATCCGCACGATCAT